TCCGGGCCAGGCCAGCCTTTCCCCAAAGTGGTCAGCGTGCCCCCTTGCCAGAGTGGCTGCTTGAGCAGGGAGGTGGGGTAGTGCCACGCGGGCTACTGCCATGATTGCACTGTCAGCACCCGTGTGGCGAGTGGTAAGTGGACCAGCGTGTTCTGGGAGTGGTCATTAATTCTGCTGGTCACCTGTGCCAACAAGATTCATCTTTGTCTCCTCCGGGAGATGAAGACGAATCTCCCATGTCCAAATTAGATGCAAAGTAATTCTTACCATGGAATAGCAAAATCCAACAGATCTAAACACTGCATTCATTCTCAAAATTTAGAAATCAATTCAGCTTACTGACGCACTGATATTTCCTTGATGGGAGATGTGCCTCTCCTCCAAAACAATTATGTAGAAATTAAAAGCAGATTCCTTCCACCCTCTACAAACAGGAAATTGTACAGATCATAATCAAGTACAAAAAATTGTTTAAATTATTTTTCAAATAGCTCTGTAAATATTTATTGGGCAATTATTTCTGAATTACACTTTGGAAGCAACGGAAGGTGAATAATCCAATTTAGCACATCACTGGGTAGGCTGTACCTCTTCTGCTGCTTCTTCATAAGTTGAGAATGCTGTGTGTCCCTCCTGCCACAAAAATTCACGAGTACGCAAGAAAGGTTGTGGATGTTTGAATTCCCAGCGCTGCAGGGGGGAAATCCAGAAACTGACACAATTATAATCTTATATTTTCTTATAATAAAGTGTACTTAATATTGTATATGTAATTTTTCAACTTTGTATTATGCTACATTAATTTAAAAGCATGTGGATGTTATGTGGTGTTAAAATATCAACAATTTTTGAATTAAAAATTGTATTCAGTCTACTTTTATACACCACAGCTATTATGTATTTTTGAATATACAGAAATTTGGTTAATTTCTATGTAGATAACAAGACTACTGAACACAGAGGTTTCACATAATCATACAGAAAAATTGTTGAGGTTGAGGGCCTTCATAAGTGACCAAAATGTATGCAGTTCATATTGCGTTTTGCCATTTCTCATGTGGCAATGACATATTCTTTATAACAACATATTCATTATTCCATGGAAATTAGAGATGAAGAAATACTCAGAGCATGACATTTAAATTGAATCCTGAATACAAAGACAACAGAAAAAGCACATTTCTGTTAGAACTACTGCAGCCTTAATTAAGTGACAAAATAAAACATGCAAGATCAAGCAAAAAATACTATTGAATATGCCATACATACCACAACATTGCACCACTGGTTCAATTTGATTGGCAAATCCCTGTGAGACTGGACCCATTTTGCATAGGCAGGATACATTACTGCAAAATTTAAAAATATATATATTTTCTGAAAATAGTACTTTAGAATTTTAATTTAAAATAGTATGAAACAATAATATTTAAAATATTTGCTCTGGGAAAATCCTGAAACGCTAGTAGCTTCTGTGTGTGTCTGTGTCATCAAGTCTGACTTATAGCAACCCTAATAGGGCTTTCAAGGTAAGTGAGATATTTAAGGAGTAGTTTTGCTAATTCTACACCCCCAGTTTCCATGGCTGAGTGCAGATCTGCACCCTGTTATCCAGAATCCTAGTCCATCACTGTATCCACCATACCACACTGGGAAGCCATAAGAAATGCCATGGTAGACTGTGTTTTAGTACACAATTTTATAATGTAAAAATTAAATATAGGAAGACAAAAGTCCGGACCTAACCAGTATTTTCCAACGTCTTCTTCCTTGAAGTATAATGCTTCTTGTTTATATTCTTTTATACTTCACTTGTTCTCAATTTATGGATGTGAAACGAATATAAAAGTCAATTCTCACCTCAAAAGCCAGCACCCTAAGTTTGCTATAAATAATTATTTATGTGTTTAAATGTTTCATACTGCCTAGCTGTTAGTATATGTTGTCAAATTCAGATGTTACCTGTTTCACTAGTAGGACGTACAGCTATTGGTTCAGCCAGCTCTGTTTTTCCAGACCTTGTGACCCATGCAACCTACAAATTGATGAATGCACAAAAATGTCATTTCTAATCCATATTTCATATCATATTTAACAATACAGGAGCTATCGTTTTATTTACCTAGCATTACAAAGTCTACATATATATGTGCATATATTCTGGATTTCACCCTGAATCACGAACACCCCATGCGCAAAGCTATGGCTATGAAAAGTCACGCTGGTGCTGCAATGCCACTTTCTAATCCCTCCATGACACCATCCAAACACTGGCTCTGAAAGGTTTCCCAGATCTCCAGAGCAGGATGTTGGGGGGCAGGTGGGTGTTGTGGGAAATAAACTTTCTCTTTCCCTGAGGGATCCAGCATTATTTCTCTGAGGGGAAAGAGAAAGCATATGTGAAGACAGACTGTGGAGAGGGGTGGGGAGAATCTGGAATGTGGAAATGATCATATTTGGGCATGACAGTGGATCAGGAAAAATTGTTTTCCCTAGGTCAGGACAAACAGAGGTGTTCTGATAGATGAACATTTCCTGATCATGCAGTCTAAACAGCGTAACAGAAAAAAGCAATTGGAATTGTTTTCAATTATTGTTTTATTTATGCATTTGTGTAGTTGTAACTTTGGAATTTTCCAGTTAAATATAAAATACTGTAGAGTAACCTTTCATATTCAGAGATCTCCATTAAATGCAAATACTGTGTGTGTATGTCACTAACTTTCCACTTCAAAAGCAATGAAGTTTTATGGCTTTATTACGAAGATTCACCCTGTATTCTGTTTTGTTACTCCCAGCCAGTGAACTGGAACAAGTCTCACTCTACAATCCCTTTCTGATTTTACTAGCAGATAAAAATCTACCAGCAGATTTCTCCTCCATCCACTAATTTAAGACATTTTTTCTAGGCTGCATTTCAGCTGAACAAATGCAGCTACTCTTCACAATACGTGTGACTCCTGTATTGCATTTGGAAGTAGTATTTTAGAATTAAAAACATATTTTAGACAATATTAGAAGTAATAAAGTATGGAAATTTACCTCTGGGGCAAAATCTGCAATGTGTGTCTTCTCTTTCTCTAAAGCAGCCTGGGACACAAACATCGGGAAGTAGCAATTCTCTACACCAAGTTTCTTGATTTCTCTGTCAAAGAAATCCTTGATGGCTTCCCAGATAGCAAAAGCCCATGGACGGAGAATGTAACAGCCACTCACATCATAATATTCAATCATCTCTGATTTTGTGATTACCTTTACAAAGAAATAGGAATGCTTCAGTGTTATGGAAAAAAAATCTGCTTTCTGGGAGTCTGAAGTATGTAGAGGAGAACAGAAACACAAATTAAACACTGCAGGATATAATAAGGCTGAAAGATTTGGGGATGGGCAGGAGACATAACTGAGTCTCATTTGTACTGCTTACAAATATAATCAAATAATTACTATTTCTTGATTTCAGTAGAACCATGTGTTGGATTATAGCCAATATATGGGCAATGCAGCACCTTTTACTTGAACTATAGTTCTGCAAATGCATTATACAAGATCTCAGACTCAAAACTGAAACCATCTGGCAGAACACTGACAAATAAGAGGGTAAAGTTAGAATAAAAAGAATCAAGGATGTTCAAAGGAATGGAGAAATCAAGAAAGCAAGCCAGTAACATTTTAACAGCCCAGTGAGTCCAGGATTAGCAAATTTGCCCCCACTGTTCTCATATCCTCTGGATTTGTATTGGGCCAGTGACTCATTTGCACACCGACATCAGTGTGACACCATTAAACTTTAATTGCTCACTCTTCTTATTCTTAGTCTCTCTCTCTCTCTCTCTCTCTCTCTTTTTCTGCTAAATGGCGACTCTCAAGGAAAGATGCAGAACCATCTTTGAAAAGGAAGGACAAACTACTGTAAGATATATTTTAAAAGCGTATTCACTTATTAGCTTCCAGCTATTCAATTGCTAAGACAATTGCAGATTGCTATATTTTTCAAGTCAGTGTGTGGTTTTGGAGATAACCTTCACATTCCATGCTCACTTCATGTTAAAAAAGAGTTGATATTAAGTGATGGCTTTCTACTACAACAGTTTTGAGAGTCAAATGTCAAAATGATAACCCCAAATCTCTGAATGCTCAGTTTTTGTTATTAGATGCTCGGAGGCTGAACCATATTGAGAGCCCAAGTTAATTTCTAAACAGATAAATAATTCAGAAAGGTATTTATTATTCACCAACATGAGCACTTAGAAGTTGATTACGCTGAAAAAACATTAGGTGCATTGGCAGAGAAATAAGAAATGCATAGCACATACTTACCTGCGAATACCATTCAGCCAGGTTCTCTTCCTTCTTAGCCTCTAGACCCAACCTGCAGCATTCAAAAGAAAACCAAAATATTTGAAGATTTTTTTGGCCTCAAAAGCGACTACAATTACTGACTTAATGAAGGTACAGGCCCCTTGCCATTCAACTTTTTGCTGGAGAATATCATGCCATGTATGTAGCTCTCTAAAGTAGCTAAATACAAATTTAAACATTTATGTTTTACAGAATATGGCAAATAAAACATTGCTGGGAATATTCCATTTGCCATCATCCTTCAAGTACTATTACTAGCATTTGGGACTATATCAGTGTTCTGCACTATTTTTCACCTTGGTTCCAATTTCTGCTTCTGAGGCTGCAGGATTGGGTCTCTCTCTCTCTCTCCTCTTCCCTCACTACACTGCAAGTGGTGACACTGCACCAGCCTTGGCTAGAGGCTTCTCCAAGCTTCTCCTCTCTCTTTCCCCTCAACATCCTACAACAGACCTGGGCAAAGTACGGCCCGAGGGCCACATACAGCCCACGAGCTGCTCCCGTCTGGCCCGCGGACAGTTTTGAACATCAAAACCATTTATAGCTTTTTGTCTAAAGTTGATCAGTTGCTTATCTTTAACATACTGCAAAAAACCTCTTTAGTATTTGTGAAGATTAACATGTTTAAAATAAAAACAATAATATCACTGTTTCATTTTATTTTTAAGTAAAGTTGGTTCGGCTCCCAAACACAGTTCAGATTTTTCATGCGCCCCCCCATAGAAATTAATTGCCCACCCCTATCCTACAAGCAAAGCCTTATCAGACAATCAATCAGATAGTTGCCAAATCTCTCTTCAGCATTTACCTGATTACATTAGGTTAAAACTAAGGATTTAAAAAAAAAAGAGTATAAAGATTTTCTGGTGTTCTATCATGAGTGAAAAATCATGAATGCTAGAAAGGTGGGTTTTTTTTTAATGTGCTTATCTCCACCATACAGCAAAAGGCTAATCTGAACACTTAGCTCTCCCCTTTATCATACCATTCAGACTAAATTTCATGGGGACTTTTTACCTGGTTTGTTTTTTAGGTCCTTGGCCATCTCCTGGCCCATTTGAGCCCAGGCTGCTGTCATCAGCTTTGTCTTTCTGAGATTCCTTTCTCTGTCCCTCACTCTGTTTCTGCTGCTTGTTTTGCTTTTCTGATTTGTTCTCCTTCTCCTTCTTCTTCTTGTCTTTATCATCTGCACCAGTTGTGGAGACTGGTTTATAGTCTACTCCTGTCAGCAACTTGTACTGTGCCTTCAGCTGAAGCAATTCTTTTACCGCGGCATCTATTTTGTCCTTCGGAAGACACCATTCCCGCAAAAAGACAGGCAATGGGGAAAAACAAATAACATAATTAGCTGTACTGAAAATGCCAAGTATGTTTAATACACTTACAAGGTAAACCATACAACATAGGCATGCCATGCAGGAAAAATGAAATGAAATGTAAACAGACAGGTATTAGAAAATTCCAGGGTTTTAACCAATCTTTATTAGCTGTTACATCTGAATTTTTTTTAAAAAAAAAGAAAACTGGATTGGAAAACATTTTAAGCTCTAATTTTCTTGCTTTGGATGAAACAGCAAACTATAATTTGCCCAAACTAAGGAAGTTACTATCAAAAGGAACAAATGAGGGAGATTGAAATGTAGGAGCACTGCGGCTTAGTGTTAGAACTGAACTGGCCTGAAGACTGTGAAAAGTTCAAAGGCAAAAAAAAAAAAATATTTGAAATATTTTTACTTCACCTTTTTCCTTAAAAAAAAGAGGACCCAATATCCCATCACTTGTCATTTCCTAATAGATACCTTATTGCTTTAAAAGGCAGCCTGAAAAGAAAGGTCTCAGTCTGATGATGGAAGGGGCAGCTAGGCTTCAACCTCAGCAACACAATGTATGTTTTCTATGCTGAAGCTATCAGGTTTAATCCACAGCCTCTCATAATAATAGGATATTTGGCAGGAGAACCAGGAAATACTTTGATACCTTATCCTTCAGACATCTGTTGGCCATTACAGTCAACTACAGCAGACTAGAAAACATTAATTTACACCGTTACCTTTTCTGCCTTCTCTGATTTTAGTTTCCTGACCACTTCTCCTTGGAGAGCAACTTTGTTAAAGAGTGCTTTCTCTTCACTGGAGTCAGGGCCGCTGGTTTTTGTGCTTGCTGTCTGGTTTGAGGAAGATGCCGGAAGTGAGGGTGGTTGTCCTGGCTTATAGTCCTGCCCGGTCTTTTCTTTATACTCAGCTTTCAGGGAAAGGAGAAGCTTTACAGCTTCATCCACTTTATCCTATAGAATATAAAGCGTTGTATGGGTATACAGTACAGTGTATATACTTACAATGACAATAAATAAACAAAATGAAATAAAAGTGATCAGGAAAAATAGTTAATGCAGGGAATCCAAAATTAATGTGCATACCATATGCTTCTTGCTTAAATAATCCAAGGTTAAGGCAAGCAACATGTAGTTTTAATGCTGCAACAAATCTGATCTAATTGGATTGTTTTCTTGATTTTTTTAAAAAAATATATCCTCTATGTCAAAACTGATGTTCCCTCAAGAAAGACTAATGCAACACACAATGGGATCCAAATACATGAAGAAAACATTAGCTGTTCTTGGATCCCTAATTCTTTGTGAAGTTTTTGGTTTTTTTAATTTACAGGAGGACTGAACAGCAAAAACATGCAAAAAGATAAAGGAAAAACAACAAACGCATTAAAACAGTTTCATCAGTTAAATTATCTTAAGTACTTAAACTTCACAGGGACAGAAACAAGCCCAGTCAGCTCTAATTTGTTTCTGTTCCCTTTGAAGTAACCTAAAAGTCAGTATTCTGATCAGTATACTGATGCTAAAATCAGTATTCATTTGATTAATGCCAAGGCTCATCACTACATACAGACACAAAGGTATTTATCACTATTCTACCTTGGGAACCTTTTCTGCTTTGAGTCTCCGTACCACCTCGCCTTGTTCAGCTACCTTACTATACAGAGCTTTTACATCTACTTGGCCAGAAGAGGCCACACCATTGCAGGATAGTGAAGCAGCATCAGAAGCAGAGGAAGAGGAGGAAGAGGAAGAAGGAAGAACTGCAGGTGGATGTCCAGGCTTATAATCTTGACCTGTCATTTGTTTATATTCTGCCTTTAGAGCAAGAAGCACTTTCACAGCAGCATCTATTTGGTCCTGAAGCAGGAAGAAAACATAAGGTATCACTAAAAATGGAAATGCTTTAAAAACTACACTGTCTTAATTAATATAAGAGTGACGAGGGAAAGGTGTCATTAGCCTGGTTTGAGGGCAGCAATGACAAAGCCATACTATGAGTCTAAGGCTTTTCCACTCCACCTGCTCTCCCCATTCTTGCTTTGTGTGTGTAAGCCAGAAAATGCAAAGCTTCTGAACAAACCACATTCCCCTATTCTGTCTGAATTTGTGTCAAGTGTCATTTGTTAATTTTTTAAAAAAAATCAGATTGAAGAAATTTATTTATTTATTTATTTATTTATTTGATTTGTACCCTGCCCATCTGGTCTATAAGACCAAAAAAAAAAATCAGATTAAAGAAAGCAAGCTGGTTTCCTGCATTTGGATGCAATGGCAAACTGCAGTTAATTGAGCAGAGAATGTGGAAGATTTCAATCTCATTCTTGCACAGGGGAAGGACTGCACCATTTCAAGGCTCACTTAAGAACAAAATATGGTTTATGGCTACACTTGTACACAACACACTTGTGTTACTGCAACACATATTAATGTTATTCATAAGCTCAATTTGACTGGCTGGATAGCTCAGTGGTTTAGGCACATGGCTGCAGAGTGAGAGGTTGGGAGTTCGATTCCTCACTGTGCTTCCTGGGAGAAGAGCCAGCCTGAGTGGCCTTGGGCAAGCTGCACGGCCCCAGGGCAGCCCTAGAGTATGGTTTGTGGCTACACTTGTACACAACTAACACACTTGTGTTACTGCAACACATATTAATGTTATTCATAAGCTCAATTTGACTGGCTGGATAGCTCAGTGGTTTAGGCACATGGCTGCAGAGTGAGAGGTTGGGAGTTCGATTCCTCACTGTGCTTCCTGGGAGAAGAGCCAGCCTGAGTGGCCTTGGGCAAGCTGCACGGCCCCAGGGCAGCCCTAGAAAAAGGGGATGGCAAACCACTTTTGAGTACTCTCTGTGATGAGATGGGTTTTTAAGTTAAAATCTTTTAAAGGCATATGGGTTTTGTAATTATGAAGTGAGCCAGAGAGGTTCCATTTTGTTTCTTTGTATATATAAGCTCAGTTTAAACATCCCTCTCTAACATAAACAAATGACTTTCCAAATAATGGGAAGATGTCTTATTTAATACCAAGGACTTAAAAACTGGTATAATAGTTGATGTAATATGCAGCTGTGTGGTGCGATTCATTTTGATCTAATTGTCCAATATGAAATGGAAAGACAATGCTGGTTTCTTTCCTCATCTGCATGTTTTTTCCAAACTATTTAAGTTTGTTAAATGTATTTATACAAGAAATACTAGCAATTTTAAACATAGCTAACCATGGCATATATCTACGTAAGCCTAAATAAACTGCACTGCAGCCATCTCTTTAAGCATATTAGGACATTAATACTAAGTCCTGCTTGTCAGAGGCATTTACACATGATTGCCCCAACACAGAAACATAAACAGCTGATGTAGCAGGATAATGCAAGAGATAACTAGAAGCAGCCATTATCACCCTAAAGTTCAAATTGTAGATTTATTTGTCACCACTGTTATCCAAGGTTTTCCTTTTTTGGACTAAATAACCTTGTGATTTATATATAATAGCACAAAACATAAGTAACCAAACATAATGCTCATTTAACAGTATACCAAGAAAAAACATTTTTATGAGCCAGGTAAGAAGAACATGATATCATTTGATTTTGTAAATTTTGCGGGATCTGTTTCTACATGTTAAAAACAAGTAGCTCAGCACCCCCTTATTTTCCATGGCCATTATACCTTTGATGCTTTCTCCGACTTAAGCCTACGGACCACTTCGCCTTGTTCGGCTACTTTGCAATAGAGAGCTTTGCTGACTACTGGGCAGTGGGACACGGAAGAAAGAGGAGCAGATGGAACGGCACTAGGAAAGACATTCTTCGGTGGGTTGCCAGGTTTATATTCCTGGCCTGTTTTCTGCTTATACTCTGCTTTCAAAAGTAGAAGCACTTTCACAGCAGCATCTATCTGATCCTAAAACACGAAAGAAGAGTCAAAAGGAAGCAAGTCGGAAAAGGAAGAATTTTGTATAGGACAACTGACAGGAAGCTACATCCACAACAATGGCTGTCAAAAAGAAAGGCCCAAGTTTTCTATTGGCGTATATTTTGAAAAGTTTGTTAACAGCACTTTGAACAGTGCTCTTGCCAGGAGGATTTCTAACCAACTTTTGAGGCTATTATTTATTTATTTAGTATCATCTGTAGGCCGCCTTTCTCCCACTGAAGGGGCCCAAGGCAGCTCACAATGTTAAAACAAGTAAAACAGAAAAAACACAATAAACTACTCATTAAAAAACAATTCAATTATAATAATAATTTAAATACGTTAAACGATTTAAAATATTTAAAATGTCAAATCAAATTTACTTAACTAAAAACCAACATCCAGATACTTAGCTGTGACTACCTAAAGCCTACTTGATCAGGTGGATCTCTCATATCCCTGACAGCAGAAGGATAAAAGGGAGGAAGCCAANNNNTGAAGCAGAGTTGAGTGGACAACTTGTCGCATTTGAGATCTTACAGCACTGCAGCTTCTGTAAGCCCCTCCAGCACAGATGAGGCAAAGGAAGAGGAACTGCAATCCATCAACATTTGGAGGACACAGTCCCAAAATAGAAAAATTATTAGGTCTAAAACAGAAGAGTATGAAACCATCATCCTCAACATTACAATCACAACAAAAATGAACATTACATGATCTAAGTTGAGCTAAGCATATGATCAGATGAGCATCACCTCTCCGTTTGGACTGCCACAGAGAAGGGCTGGTGAGGAATCAAATGAGGCGCTTGCGAGAGTGAACCAGCCCACCCCCCACAGTGTTCCTACCTTCACCCTTTTGATGCCTTTCAAGGGAAATCTACTATTTTGGTGTGGGTAGGATCACTCTGTATTGGTTCATCATCTCCAGCATGTGATCACTGGGAAGGGACCAAATAGCTTTCCTTTTCAATTTGCCAATTTCATAATATAGGCAAATTAAACTTCTTTGGCTTTGTGGAAGTGTTTAATTTCCAAAGGCAGGAGCTGGATGCTGTCTTTGGAAAGGAGAAACGATGTGTGCGCGCTACCTTTGTGTGTGCCTATGTGGCTTGGCTTGACTTTTTAACAGTGGCAAGTGGAGCATTGTTGCCATCAGGAGGGGGATTTCCAAAGGCAGTGTGGGGAGGCTGCCTCTGGAATGGCTGAACCCTTCCTTGCTCACACGTGTGCACCCCATCTACATGTCCACAGCTTGGCTTTTTAAAAGGGGCAAGTAGAACAGTGTCAGGAAAATTTTGTTTGCTTTTCTCAACTGGCTCTTTAAGATAAAGCAAAAATCTCTCTCATTTATTTATTTATTTGATTTGTACCCTCCCCATCTGGTCTATAAGACCACTCTAGGCAGCTTCCAATATAACATAAAATAAAAATATAAATAACACAAAATATTACAGAGATCATACATATAACAGATGTAATACAAGACAGAAGAAATAAATAAATAAAAGTAAAGGGGAAAAATCAGATATTAGCTGGAGGGAAGGCCTGAATATATAGCCATGTTTTTAATTTCCTGCATTTGGATGCAATGGCAAACTGTAGTTAATTGAGCAGAGAATATGGAAGATTTCAATCTCATTCTTGCACAGGGGAAGGACTGCACCATTTCAAGGCTCACTTAAGAACAAAGTATGGTTTGTGGCTACACTTGTACACAACTAACACACTTGTGTTACTGCAACACATATTAATGTTATTCATAAGCTCAATTTGACTGGCTGGATAGCTCAGTGGTTTAGGCACATGGCTGCAGAGTGAGAGGTTGGGAGTTCGATTCCTCACTGTGCTTCCTGGGAGAAGAGCCAGCCTGAGTGGCCTTGGGCAAGCTGCACGGCCCCAGGGCAGCCCTAGAAAAAGGGGATGGCAAACATCTTCTGAGTACTCTCTACCTGGAAAACCCCAAGAAGGGTTGCCATAAGTCAATTTTGACTTGATGGCACATGATCATTATTATAAGCTCAATTTAAACATCTCTCTCTAATACCTTCCCAAATAATGGGAAGATGCCTTATTTAATACCAAGGACTTAAAAACTGGTATAATAGTTGATGTAATATGCAGCTGTGTGTTGCGATTCATTTTGATCTAATTGTCCAGTATGAAATGGAAAGACAATGCTGGTTTCTTTCCTCATCTGCATGTTTTTTCCAAACTATTTAAGTTTGTTAAATGTATTTATACAAGAAATACTAGCAATTTTAAACATAGCTAACCATGGCATATATCTACGTAAGCCTAAATAAACTGCACTGCAGCCATCTCTTTAAGCATATTAGGACATTAATACTAAGTCCTGCTTGTCAGAGGCATTTACACATGATTGCCCCAACACAGAAACATAAACAGCTGATGTAGCAGGATAATGCAAGAGATAACTAGAAGCAGCCATTATCACCCTAAAGTTCAAATTGTAGATTTATTTGTCACCACTGTTATCCAAGGTTTTCCTCTTTTTTTGGACTAAATAACCTTGTGATTTATATATAATAGCACAAAACATAAGTAACCAAACATAATGCTCATTTAACAGTATACCAAGAAAAAACATTTTTATGAGCCAGGTAAGAAGAACATGATATCATTTGATTTTGTAAATTTTGCGGGATCTGTTTCTACATGTTAAAAACAAGTAGCTCAGCACCCCCTTATTTTCCATGGCCATTATACCTTTGATGCTTTCTCCGACTTAAGTCTACGGACCACTTCGCCTTGTTCGGCTACTTTGCAATAGAGAGCTTTGCTGACTACTGGGCAGTGGGACACGGAAGAAAGAGGAGCAGATGGAACGGCACTAGGAAAGACATTCTTCGGTGGGTTGCCAGGTTTATATTCCTGGCCTGTTTTCTGCTTATACTCTGCTTTCAAAAGTAGAAGCACTTTCACAGCAGCATCTATCTGATCCTAAAACACGAAAGAAGAGTCAAAAGGAAGCAAGTCGGAAAAGGAAGAATTTTGTATAGGACAACTGACAGGAAGCTACATCCACAACAATGGCTGTCAAAAAGAAAGGCCCAAGTTTTCTATTGGCGTATATTTTGAATAGTTTGTTAACAGCACTTTGAGCAGTGCTCTTGCCAGGAGGATTTCTCACCAACTTTTGAGGCTATTATTTATTTATTTAGTATCATCTGTAGGCCGCCTTTCTCCCAATGAAGGGGCCCAAGGCAGCTCACAACAAGTAAAATAAAAAAACACAATAAACTACTCATTAAAAAACATTTCAATTATAATAATAATCTGAATACATTAAATGATTTAAAATATTTAAAATGTCAAATCAAATTTACTTAGCTAAAAACCAACATCCAGATACTTAGCTGTGACTACCTAAAGCCTACTTGATCAGGTGGATCTCTCATATCCCTGACAGCAGAAGGATAAAAGGGAGGAAGCCAAATTAACTACACACAAGGAATAGCATTCTACAGCCTGGGTGCGGGTATTAAAATTTCAGTCTCAATGGTAATCTTTAGTCATACTAACCTTAGGTGCTTTTTCTGCTTTCAGTTTCCGGACCACTTCTCCTTGCTCTGCTACATTATCATAAAGAGCTTTGCTGTCTATACTGGGGACACTCGTAGCCTCACACTTGACAGGCTGAATTTGAATTCCAGCTACTGGGGGAGTTCCTGGCTTGTAGTCTTGACCAGTCTTCCCCTTGTAGTCCGCTTTCAAAGCCAAGAGCTGTTTCACAGCTGCATCGATGTCTTCCTTTGCTGCCTTTTTTGATTTCAAGTCACGAACTACATCACCTTGAGCAGCTATCTTGTTAAAAAGAGCTAAATGGTCTTGACCTGTACTAGGGGTTGCGGTACAAGAAACATTAACCCCAACTGGAGCTGACTGTCCTTTCAGTGTTGTACTGGCCTTTGAAAAGAAATATAAATTTATGGTTTCATAATGTACACAGCAAAACAAAGCAGAAAACTAAAATATATATTGCATGAAAGCAATCCATTGCTTATTGTTTTAAGTGTGACATCAACAGAGGTTGCTCAGTAACGTAAATCCCACTAATTTCAAAAAGTATGGGGTATGAAACATCCAGTTTCTAGTCTCTAATGTTTCTAGAAACAGGATACTATCAGATGTTATGCTAAAGGGGGTTACAAGTTACACAGCAGTTTTTAATGCACTGGCTGAAATCCTGTTGCTTAGCATTGTGCCATTTGTTTAGCTACACAAGACAAATATGACATGAACTTTTCGCAAGTACATGCCACTTCTCTCCACCCATAGCTCTGCATTTGATTCACTAACAACCCTATTCAGATCATTCCACTTGTCACCCAGCAATTACATTTTCTTATTTTCAGCCCAAACTTGCAAGCAACATACATGTTCATGATCTCAGAGTATGCCACTTCCATCACCAATCCATGTAAACTGAATTTCCTTACTTCTTTCTTTGCTGTTTCTGCTTTGGCCTTCTCCTTAGATCCAGATGTAGGCATTTCTTTTGTATGTCCATCAGGAACATAAATTAACACACATGGGGCTTCTTTACAACTGTATGGACTACAAACAAAGACTCAGTGAATCAATTTTCTTAATTAGCTTTGCTTGAGTTGAGCAATACAAGAAATATAAACAAAAATTAGCTTAATTTCCTTGATAAAGTAAAAGGGATGTGTAATACAACCCTATATATATATGTATTTACTAGAAAAGTCTCATTGAGTTCAGTGGGTATGTGAATAGTACTAGACCCTTAAATGTAGTTCTCCTTTACCTGATGGCAACTTGGTTCAAATCAAAAGAGACTCCCACTATACATAATTTCCCCAAAATCTTACAAACACTATAATAAACTCTTATTAAAACTGAGAAAGCCCAATTTGTCAAATTCATTATTTAGTTCAACATCATGTTTTCTACCTGTAAGCTGCTTTCCTTCTTCCTTTCTGATATTTTTACAAAAAATAGTATCTGGGAGGTATTCACAAATATTTTGAATCGTGGTAAAATCTGTCTATTTCCATTTATATACCATCCCAAAGTCCTAGAGAACTCTCTGGACGGTTTAAAGCAGTTTACTTTGCCTCCCCACCAGCAAGAGGAGTGAGTACTCATTTCACCAGCCTCAGAAAAATGCAAATCTGAGTCAGCCATGAGCCAGGGACCCGAATTCATCAGGATCAAACTCAGGTCATGAGCAGAGGCTTGACTGCAGTACTAGTTTAATCACGGGGTTCACACACAGGACTGTCATTTAGGATGACAAGTTAACTGGCAGAAAGGTTTCATGAGAGGAGCAGGCATGATGGGAAGTGGAATGAAGGAAGAAGAAATCTGTCTCCATTGGCCAGACAGCTGGGCTGAGGTTCTTGAGCCCCAACCTAGTCAAACTTAGTTGAATAGCTGGGTGCAGTATAGTGATGAGGATGAAAGTTTCAGCACAAAAGGGTGACATCTGCATCAAGGTCCACTCTTGTCAACTGATAAGGCACTATTTTCAATGGAAAGCACACCAGACACATATCCCGATGAGTATCTCTACCCTTTACTCAAAGGGTTATGTTTAGACCCACAAGACCCACTCAAGTCCTCATCTTTCTGGAGAGTTGATGTGACACAAAGGTAATGATACATCAACTGTAGAAAAATGCAATCCATTAGCCTAGGATGTTGTAATCGAAGAAGCTGATGCCCGGCTTCATAGCAAAAGAGGAATGTGTTAACGTGAATATAAATATGGAGATGTCCATTCAGAAGTTTAATGCTGTGAAATGTAAAATGGTTATGTTATGCTTTTTCAAATGGTTATGTTATGCTTTTTCTTATATAAGTGCATAGGATGATGTTCCAGCTGCTCACCTAATAGGCTCATAGGGTTGATCACAGATATAAAAGCCTCTTCTTTGTAGTTGTATGATGTCTCCTTTTTTCAAATCCTTAAGACAAGGATCACCTAACATCAATTCTTCTTGCTGTAAAAATAAAAAGGCAAGTCAGCTTGGCTTCCTGAAAGTAATATACCATGTGTGCAAAGAACTATTGGACCAAAAGGTTAATATGAAGAACAAGGAAAACATACCTCAATTAATTTAGAGGTGTGCAGCTGGGTGATTTTGGATTACAGCTCCCAGAATTCCCCAGGCACCAATCCAAGTGGTCATGCTGCCCGAGGAATTCTGCGAACTATAGTTAAAAAGCACAAATTTGCACATCTCTCTTAAAAGATCCTGAGTTTATAGCACAGCAGTTCAGCATGAAATATGAAAGAAGAGCAGACAGGCAGCAGATAAACCAATGTTCTTAAAAAAGTTTGCCCAACATAGTTTGGAATATTGCTCTCGTCAGTCCCAGCCAGCATAACCAATGGTCAAGGAAAATGAAAGTTTCAACCCAAAACATCTGACGGGCACGCTGGGTAATATTGAGCTAGGGTGTTGAATTCCTACTAGGGCGACATGAATTCAAATCTTTGTTCTGTTGCAACACTGCTGCGCTATCTTCAAGTCTAACATCCTACACTGTTATTATGATGTGAAGAGAGAGGTGGAAAAGAAAAACCATAAATGCCATGTTGTGCTTCTTCAGGATGGATGGGATAACAATATAATAATGAAGAGTGGGTGACTGTTGCAAGTTACCTTGCTGTTTCTGTTCACATACTGCTTGAAATCTTCTTCCTTGCCTAGGACAGGCTTGGTGATCAAGTGTTCATAGTTAACACATACAGCTGGGATGAGAGGAGCTTGAGGAGTTTCTGCTAGCCAAGTAATTTTAGCCGTTTTTTTGTAGTCCTTATTCTCCAGATTTAGCTTAGCATCTATGGATGCGATTTTCCCACTGGAATCCCTACAAAGAATCAGAACAACACTGTGATTATGGCCAATATGTGCATGTGTGCATGTGCCCAAGCAAAACAATGAAATCATACCAAAGATGCATCATCAACATGAAAGTTAACAGAGTTTAAGACAAGCTCTAATTCTACAGTCAAATTTAAGAGCCAGATGACATCTAACTAGATTTGAAGGCACTTAGTGTAAATAGACAGCACTTTTGTGCAAACAAATCATGGCTGCAATTTCTCCTATCAGAACAATGAACCACATGCCATAATGTTCCCAAGTGTCCCCTGAGTCTCCAGTGAGTCAAAGAAGGTTGCAATGGTGAGAACGGGAGACACAATCTATGTTTAACATTACAAGCATTTCCCTTATACTTCTCTTTCGACAATACTGGCGTTAGTGGTGCCAGACCCCTGTGCAGTTCAAAATCTGTGTATAATTCTTATGCCCCTAAAACATAACTACAAAGCAAATGTAACTACAACACACACACACAAAGACCAGTTCTCTCTACTGGGGTTCTCTTCCATAGTACTGACAATCCTTTCCATCTAGTGCCATATGTAATGAGCCTTATAGGTCATTATGATCCTCCAATCTGATATACAGGCTGAAAAAGAAATGTTGTGTTTGGAGGCTTTCTGTGTTGAACTCATGGGTTTCTGGGTAGCCAGTACACAGAATCTACTGAATATTGATTGACTGAATGATTTTAAAAAATCCATGTATAACCAAAGTTGTGCTGTTCATACTCATGCAATTCAAGGGAGAAGTGTATGTTCAATGCAAAAATTCTGATATTCTCGGTAAAATACCATAGGATATAATCCTTCATCCTAATTTGTCTCAAGACACAGCAACATACTTGTGTATTTTGGAGATAATTATGTTGCCCCAGTTAATGAACGTAACAGTTTCTCCTTCTGCAAGTGTCTGTGCATCCGCTCCTTCGATCAGCACTTTCGGACTGTACCATACAGGCTTCAAGCCAACTTCAGCATTCTATATGGGAACAAGGAAAAGGACGATAAACTGATACAGCTGCTTGGTTACGTGTTGTATTAGATTACAAAAGAAGAATCCAGGATTCTGAAGTAATGTGCAGAGGATGAATCTAGCAGGGAACTGATACTAGGAGGGCTGTTAAATACCATTACTAGGCAAGGATTGGTATCATGTAACTCAGGGGACCACATGGAACTTTTATTAGTTCCCCCAAGCCACTTGGGAGGAAAGGATGAAGGACGGAAAGAGAGGAAAAGAGAGGACTGGAGAGATCTTTTCTCTCTCAAAAATTCAAAGAGTTTCCTTTGGGGGCATGGCTCTCCTCTAAAACAAGGTATGCCTCGTCAAACTTTGGGTGAAATTCAGTAGTACGTCGCAACTAGAGTAGGCCCATTGAAGCAATGGAACGTACAGAGGAATTGACTAACCAAATCTCCGCTGATTCAATGAGACTACTCTAGCTGCCACTAACTACTGGATTTCAGCCCTTGTTTTAGAAAAAATATCCAAGCTTTATAAAAAAGAACAAAAGTGTTCCCTTTTCAAAGCTTCTCCAAAAAGTTATGCAAGGTGTCATTCTTAATATTCTACATCACAGTATTTTATTGTTCAACTAAAACTAGCTGGCAAACCTTTGGATGTTTGGCCACTTCTTTCACTTCTTCTGGAGCTTCAGGAACATTCACAGGGACTACTTCATCCTTCAGTAAAGCAGTATACCGAGGTGCCACTGGATCTATAACCTATACACCAGGAAGTATCAAAGAAGATCACAGTTATATAATGCTTTTTGAAACAGGCAAAAATAGTTATGTGAACTAGATTATGTAAAACAAAACAGATATATAAAAAAATATTTAGGAATATTAACTGGCATCTTTGTGTTACTGCATCTTACATTGCAATTAACTTTTGCTAAAGTGTTACAGCAAAACTATCAAGAGTATATTCAACATTAAGTAATTTTCATGACTTTTCAGAAAAAAGAAGCCCTTATTTAAAAACAACACACCACTGGTGACCATTTAAAGAGGAGGAAGTCATACAACTGGCATGTCAGCTTTAGGAATAATCTAAAACTAAGCATGGATATTCCAAAAATTTAAGTGGAGGGTAACTGTTAAGACTCGTGATCACAATTTAATAGAAAAAAAATCCCAGTAATTTCAACTGAATTTCCATATGCATACCCCTGAGGAGAGTTAGGGATAAATGGTAATTCTAGTAAAAGTCTTATAGTGTAACCCAATGCATGTTCACTGAGAAATAAAGCCCACTGAATTTCAAAGAGAATTTATCCCATGGAAAAGTATATAAAATTCCAATCCTATTGTAACATTTTATTAAATGCACATCCTAGACAAAATTTATCAATTGATATGAGCCTTGATTGGCAAATATGAGACCAAAAAAGCACATCCACATGTGAATATTACATCAATGTCAATGTAACCTCTTCTAAAACTAGATTATGAATAGGGACAGGATTTCTATTGGATGTTCCTTGAAATTTTAGAATAACTAACTCTGTTATATTACTGTTATACATGCAACTGAGTAAGATATTTCAATAACTGATCTTGCAAATGCCAAAATTCACACTGTTAAGCCACTATCAATTTTAAGCATGTTTGGGTGTGGGTGGGTGGCTGCATTTATGAACTTAAAGTATCATTCCAAAATTTTCCTTCCCTCTATATCACAAAATGTTTATTAAATCCACAGATTTTCTGAACATATTCTGCTAGGTATATTTTCTAGCACATTAATTAAATGCAACAGCATTAGATCACTATAATAAGGCAACATCACAGCACTGAACTCAAAAATAGCCTCTCTTCTTTCATGTCCTCACCAAACTAGTTTTGTACCCTACAGTTTTCTTCAGAAAAGTTTGAATCTGTTTTTACCACACACACCACAATACTAAGTCAGAGCTTAGGCCTTCCATCTTTTTTGTAATAATGTCCTTTGTGGTACCTGAAAGTTTTACGACTTATTATAAGATTTAAGAATTAAAATATAAATAGGAAAGATTCTACATACATGGACAACGTTAGTGTTGCTGCTGAGGAAATCTGAAGATAGAATGAAAGTTCTGATTTTTAAAAAATCTGTACAAAAACAGCTATTTTAAAATACTGTAACTTCCTATACTCTGTTTTTCAGTGTTTTATCATGGTAAGAAGTAGCTAAAAAGGAGAAGAAAAATATCAATGAAAGAAATGTTAACAATTAATTTAATTCTTACAGGATAATTCATAATTTATATGGATATTAAACTTCTGGATCAAGTTGAGATTAGCTTCATTCAGACCTGTGCCTGGGAATTAAAACGAAACAACTGAAACGCTAATCTCTATACTAAAGTGCGAGTTTGAATTTAGGTGTCGAAAATGAGCTGTGCAGCCACAATTTTGTTGAATTGCGTAACTGCAGAAGAGCAATGGTGCAAGTGTTTCATCTGCAGACTCTCCTTTGGATGGCTGCCTGTGCACAATCTACACAATTGGCTTCAATGCGTTCTTCGGGTGCTCTTCTATAATCTAGTAGGGAATTTTTTTTTATGAGGGCTACTGTTAAGCCATTCATTTTGATACTTGGATGCTTCATAACCGGTCTACAGAGCAGTTGACTCCTTGACTTTGGTTTTTGGCCCAGTGGAGAATGTAACTAACAGGGAAGTATAGTACCAAGAAGCAGTCAAGTGATTTAAATCTAAGACTGAGATGTTTTATACGTTCAGTTATACACATAAAACATTAGTGTATGCAGCAACAGAAAGAACCAATTGATAATCCCTCATGTAAATGAAGAGAATAAAAAGGGCTATAGGAGAATACAAGACACATGCCAGGCAAGCAAAGAATAAAATTTAGGAAAAGACTATTTAAGGATAAACAAAAATCCAGATGCATGTAAAATAGGAACAGCCACACAGTTGAGCAGACAGACACTGACAGTTCGCCTTATTATAGTATCCAAGCATCTGCTGCCAGAAAGCAATTAACCATGTCAAGATGCAGTATTCCTTATCTGACCATCAGCTGAGGAACATTGGAAGAACAGTTCACTAGCTGTTTTAGACAGAAAATGTTAAAGCCTTCAGGACATTGCAGAAAAGCAATGTGGCCTACATCACAACTTGGAGTGATGTTCTAATCCTCACGGAGAATTAAGGACTCAGATTATTTTTCCCCATTTGGAAGAGGAATAATGCATTTTAAGATGGAGATATACAGCTCTTGTTATGTAAGCAGACATGGTGGTGTCATGAGAAGCTGCACAGTGATGGCTTATGCTATGTGGGCTTACAATACTGTAAGCTATATGCTAAGGCAGAAAAAGCATTACATAATACCTTCTTACAGATAGCTCGCAGCTTGAAAGCAGAAAAATGAAATGCAGAGTTTTCATATCAGTGTATAAATCAGCAAAATACCATTACCTGCCCACACAATCCAAGAACAATTCAGTATCAAGTTTGGCAAAAATGGTTAAGATCAGTGTTAGCCCTTGTTAGCAAGAGGATACATTCCATTTTCCTGAAAATGCGCCAAATGATGCAACATTCTGCATTCGCTAGTCTTTGAAGAACATTGCACAGAAGGCTGGATCGACTACCAGCAGAACAGAGCAAGTGTCAACCAGAGAAGTCATGATACCAAAAGGGAGGCGCATGTACCTTTTTGTTGAAGGCCCAAATCTTATCCCACTCCATGTTCACAACTGATCGAGACGAACCCTGTAAAACGGCATCAAATTTGCATGACAAATTTTCAACACATTATATATATCCTGTAACAGTTTAACATCCATCTTAATTGACCATTTCATGTTGTGAAACATAAAATGGCAAGGAATTACAATGTTAACTTAATCAGCAAAACTCAAGAAAGCTACATCACTCCGCATATTTATTTATATACTGCAAATACTTATAGCCCGCCCTATATCACAGAATCTTAGGGTGGATTACAGAGCTATAAAACATTTTAAAATCAAACTAAAACACACAATTAACATTTGTACTGAAAGCAGCACCGGCCATGATCCTCAATCCCCAAAAGCTCTAATAAATGTTTTGACTTGTCACTGAAATGACACAGATGATGGTGCCAATCACATTTCCAAGGGGAGGGCATTTCACAGTCCAATAGAGACTTTGTAGCTAGTTTCTCAGACACCTTCTTGGATCTGAGCAGCCCAGCAGGGCAAATCTAATGTTTCAGGCCTGCAGAGATGGAGGGCTGTGGACAGAAGCCCCTTCAGTGTTTTGTGGAAAGCTCCACAACTGTTATTGAACTGTTCACCATATTCCAAAAATGGTGGCTTTCTATGTGATGTTCTAGGATCATGTCCAAGACCTGAAGCCCCCATGTTCCCTTGTGAGACACCCACACATTAAAGGGACATCAACATCTGGAGAAACCAGTTCACGTATCATTTTACTTTCACATAATGATCATTCAAGACCAGCAATAGAAGACCTTCCAGATGGTCTTGGAAGGAGGCCTTCTTGACAATATTACTGCACAGCTAAGATGTTTCAGATGAGAACAGAACAGATAGATAAGGAACACCTACCTGTGCAGCAATAAACTGTTTCAGTCCTTCAACTGTCAGGCCTCTTCTCAGGACACCACGCACAGTGGGAAATCTTGGGTCATCCCTAAGAGAAAGCAATGTACACTTAGCTGAACAATGCAGAAATGAACAACACACAGGATGAACAGAATGGCCAGTGCTTATTAGGAAAAGGTGAAGTTTTTACCTTCAAGATCATTGCATAAAGTAGAAAAAATGTCCAACATGCATGCACAAAAAGCCTGCACAGTTACCAGAGGCATTTCCATTAAATTCATACCATGCTTTCTGAGACTGTAAAATTCTTTCAGACCTCCCTACCATAAGTGACACCAAGATATATGGTAGCAAATGGAAACATATGGGCTGAAATCCTGTTGTGTTGTTACATTAATGGTATGACAATTGGAAGCCAACTGCTGTAACTTAAGAAATCTCTGTAGACATTGTCCATTGAATGCTGAGTCTGCAACTCATAGATAATGACTATGGAGATTTCTTAATGTACTGCAATTCATGTCTAAAAGTTATGCAATCTGCATAACTGTGCAACACAATTTCAGTCACTGTTACACTGGAAACACTTGCCCAACCACACTTTGGGGTACTAAAACCATGTCAGAAAAAATACAAATTCAGTGGTGCTCGCTAGACGATGATAATCCATTCCATTGAAATCACTGTTTAGCAAAATCATTGTCTAGTGAAAAGCATTTCCCCATTGGAATGCATCGAAACCTGTTTAACCAATTCCAATGGGGAAGAATTGTCATTGTCTAGCGAAGATAGGCCATAGGAAAGCCGCTTTGCGAACCACCGATTAGCTGTTTAAATCGCTGTCTTGCGAAGCTTAGGTCCTGAAAACACCTGTTTGCGAGCTCGGAGGGAGCTGTCAAAATCATCGTCTAGCGAAAATCAATTTGCGAAGCAGGGACCAAACATTGTCCAACGAAATTCCCCCATAGGAATCACTGTTTTGCAAATCGCTATAGCAATCGCAAAAAGCCAATGTCTAGCGAAAAAACTGTCATGCGGGGTAACTGTCTAGCGAGGCACCACTGTTGCTCAAAGGTAAACGTAACATAGGTACATTGACTTATGGGTGACCAGGGAAGCCAATTTTATTTCCCCATTCTTCACCTTGTTGAATCTGCTGCTGACCACTCCCTCAGTGTTCTGCTTTATATGGAAAGGAAAGTGGTTAACACTCAGAGGGCCACTTCTCTCTTCCCTTGAACTTCCATATTCATAACACAGCCTGAGAACACTGCTCATTACAACACAGTAGGGCTTGGCAACCCTGCTTAGGTCAAAGACCCCATTTATGGTTGGGGAACTCTTCAGAATTCAAACATGGGATCATATGGGATGTGGTGAATAGATCCATGTCGAGAAAGGGGTGTGACTTCACAAACACTCCCTCTCCCCAACATCATTCAAATGTATGTATCTTTCTGCAATGTGCTGAAGGCCACATGATTTCTGGTCCTGATTCAGGAAAGCATTTCTGGGGATGGCACAAAACTAGTGCCATGGGTGTGGGGTAAGGTGGTTGTTGGTCATAGAAGAGACACCTGAGGGAAACATACCTCCCAAGAGCTGCCAATATGGGCAGTATAGAATCTAACACAACAAATCCATCATATGGGTTAGAAAAGTTGAATAGCATAGCTCAGCTGAATAAATATTGTAATTATACAATAACGATCATCATACAGAGACTCAGCAAGCAGTAAGCTTCACGTTTTTTGTTCCTTTTTTCCTTTCTATTTGAAATGTACAGTATATACATATGTAGGCAAGAGTATAATCTATTTTTATTCTAAAATCTTTAATAACAACTGCTAACAAAATTATTTTTCCAGTGATTAGTCTCTCTCCCTCTCTCTCCACACCTTTTTTTCCTTTCTATTTGAAATGTATATACATATGTAGGCAAGAGTATAATCTATTTTTATTCTAAAATCTTTAATAACAACTGCTAACAAAATTATTTTTCCAGTGATTAGTCTCTCTCCCTCTCTCTCCACCCCCTCTATCTACAGAGACAGAGTCTAAATTCAACAATCAAAAAACAATTCAACCATGGCCCCAAAACTGTTAGATTGCAACTCCCAACATACCCAGTGGCTTGAGTATAGGTTCATGGGAGTTGTCCTCTAACATCATCTGGAGGATCACTGGCTACCCACTCTCTGAATTAGATAGTTCATACCAGTTTAAAATGGGTCAACCTACCAGCCATCCACCAGCCCTTCATTGACAAACCAGGTGAGCTTTCTTTTCGAGAGAACAGTATTATTGAGATTTAAACGGCTGTATTCCCAAATATAGGGCTTCCTTATACCCAAGGATTCAATGATCCAGTAGAACTGCTCATCTCTATCATGATATTCCGTTGTCCTTAATGCATGAGTGACACCTTCAATACTGTCAACTATGGGACAGGCAAAATCATATGTGGGGTAAACTCTGAAACACAACAGAAGTATAATTAATTTTTGTGTATATATGGCGGATGTTGAGTATTCCACACATATTAATAAAATTTAGCAAGCAATATCTAAAGCGCATTGCAACAAAAGAGGAAGTAAAAACATTCCACTATATTCAAACCAAGCATTAATATTATATTCCAAGAGTGGGCAAAAGACAGACCTAGTAGATCTCCAAGTAAATCAGAGTAAACTGGTAAGAGTCTCTCGTTCCTAATAGCTTAACAACAGCAGAAGCAAAGCTACTCTCCCACCTCTAAATTATACTGATGAAATGAAGATGGTTTGGGGGTTAATAGGAACAAAAATCTCTGTGAAAGAAGTGGTAGTTCTACTACTCGCAATAATTTCTGGGCTCAAAATTCTTTATGTTTCTCTAAGTACTTTTGCCTCTGTTTTGGGGCAAGGCTTTAAGTTTTGTTTTGTTTTTTAAAGGATGCCCAAACATGGAGTCAGGCCCACCCCTGCTACACTGCATTCAGAGAGCCTATATTGCATTCATGGTACCTAATGCACTCTGGCTGAAATGCCGAAGTTTTCTTTCCATTATGTAGCCAGCAGAATGATTATTTCCAGGAACTACTACAGTATTCCTGAGGGGCAGGGAGGTAAGGGGAAATTGAGAGAGGTTATTTCAGCCTGCACAAATGTTCAAGTTCCAGTTCTAACTGTTTAACATTAGTGAATAACACAATTTTGATTTTTGAACCAGAGGTACTGGCAAACATAAGGACCAATAAGGGAGAATAGAGGGGCACCTGCATAGAAAAATCAGTAAGGCAAAAGAGGACTGAAGCACTGAATAATAGAGTTGGGAGGGGCTTATAAGGCCATTGAATTCCCACCCCCTGATCAATGCAGGGATCCAAATTATCTCAGAGATGGTTGTCTAATCTTCTCTTGAAGGCTTCCGGGGTTGGAGCACTCACTATCTCCAGAGGTAATTAGTTCCATTGTCGTACTGCTTTACATCATCTCTCTGTGTCTGCCATTCCCTGAAAGCCCCAACTTCCAATTTTAAAGAATTGGGGATGGGGTGAGGGGTTGAGTCTAACTGCTAGGGAGGGGTACATTCAGAAGAAAACTATTATGGTAAAATAATGGGGTTAGAAACCACATTGTAGTGTCTAGCTTTGTCTAATTTTCATTTGAATGAAGCTACGTCACCAAAACTGAAAGCTAATGTGTGGAAAAAGGGGCAGGGAAGGATTTTTGGATTTTATCAGAAGCAAAACTAAAAATACTAGGTATTTCAATTTGTTAAAAAATCACATCGGTGGACAAAATCCTGCTGCACAACTGGCTATGAAATTGACACCAAAACCAAAATCATATCCAGCTAACAGTACCACAGATGCAGTTGTGCTACTAGCTGCACAGTCAGTTACACAATCAGGTACACAATGCAGACTGCCTAGGCATAACTACTTTACAACATCCAGTGGATGGATACACAGGAGTCAGAAAGCAGCCGTGATTCTAGGTATAAGCAGGTGGAACTGGCCCCATTACAACTTAATGTGTTACACTTTCTATCTCGTTTAAAATATTGTACCATGTAATATTTGATAACACATATCCACAGTTATGTATTTGTGGGGCATATTTAACAAGCTTGAATATTAGGAGATCGAGCATAGTATCATAAATAAAACAGTGGACTAGGAGTCAAGAAACTTGGATTTACTATTTGGCCATCAAAATGTGCATGAAGTGGCAATGGAAAACCACTTCTTGAACATCTTACATACCTCAAAATCTTAATGGGCTGCACTAAATTAGAAGTGACTTGATCGTGCATCACAACAACAGAATAAGGATTGAAACTGGCAAGGTACTGGAATGTTTCCAGAAGAATATAAGAGTAGAAAATGGTGTAAGAAAGCGAGAAAACATTTTCTTTGACACAAACATACTTGTAGTTATTTCCAGTTCGTGGGTGTGGCTGGTTCTTGCAACGATAAAGAGTTGGATCTCTCATACATCCATTATTACTATTCATGTCAATTTTTGCTCGCAGACAGCAAGTCTGGCCATAATCTGTTCCTTTTTTCATTTCCTCCCACATTTGCATATTCTTCTCAACAGCTATTAAAATGCAAAAATATAGTTTAGATTTTAATAACATAGCTCTGACACTTCAAAACCAGAATTATAAAATTATAAACATTCAAAACAGTTAAATGTCTAGAGCTAAAAACATTTCTTGCAGGTATTCTGACAAGTTTTAACTAAATGACTTGGTATTCTTTCAGGAACCTTTTCTACGGCTTCTTGACAAGTATGTGCAGGGGGAAATGGTGGCAATTCCAGATTAAAAACTCCAATCACTTCATCAGGAGAAAAAGGTAGAAACTCATGTTGAATTTATAAGATTTTATTGAAGACCTTTATTCATCAAATTCATGTAAGAACATACAAAGCTGTCTTATATTTAACCAGACCATGTTCCTTCTTGCAGTTTATGACCTATAGTGGCCTAAGTTCTACCACAAAAAATGTTGCAGAAGTCCAGTGGGGAAAATATGTCATAATTATTTTTCATCCACCCTAAACATTACAAGGACTTTCTGAAGTTAAAAGAGGTTTTTTAAAATCCGAGATATGTGTGTGTCTTAATGAGGTTATTTTGGAAGATTCAAGCAACTGAAGGCTTCAGCATATCCTGAGAGCCAATAGTAATAAGCTGATTGTCAGATTTCAGATATCACATTAATTAAGCAAAAAGAAAGGGAAGCTACATAACACATCTTACAGTTACTTCTGTGCTTTGACTCTATTCTCTGCTCTCGTTCCATTTTCATTTGTTCTGCTGGTGTGTCATCTATATAAGCCTTTCCTTCCTGAATGAGTTTCTCAGCATATTTCATTATCGTTTCAAAATGATCAGAAGTGTACGTAAACTGGTCTGGTTTAATGTGCAGCATGGCAACATCTTCCAAGATAACCTGCAAATATAAAATGTTACACAATGAAACTGACATATAGAAATACTTCACTTAAATTAATCCTTATTACTAAGGTTGTTCTGTTTTATATTTACTAATCTGAACCATTCTCTTTGAGCATGGAGACTATTTGTTACTATGTTACTCCTCTTAATAAATGAATTAATGGTTAGTTCAATAACTAAACTGAATTATCATCTATAAAAGCCATTTTCCTCCTACCGTTCACCAGGATGTTCACAAGTGAAAGGTATACAAAGTGATTACAACCCTTCATTAAATATCAAATACGTGTTTCTCCCTGATGTGCAAAACCCCTGTTAACAGAACCCTAATGAAATTAAGCAACTAAGTCATAATGGGGTATCTGGCTTTTTTCAATATTTTAACAATATTATAAATTGAAGTCTTTCAGATACCTTTTCAAAGTCTTCTTTTTCTTTTTCTGGATTTGTATCATCAAACCTCATGATCAGCTTGCCCTTGAAGTTGACCTGGTAGTGCTGATTCAACAAAGCAGCTTTTGCGTGACCAATATGCAAGTATCTGGGAACAAAACAACAGTACAGTATACAGCAAAATAGACATGTTTTACATATTAAGAAAGTGAAAAATAGAAATTGTAGTGTATTTCCTGCTATAATAGTTACCATGAGTATGTTTTACCTCTCAATGCCAAACACTTCTAAGGTTTTTAGATTTATAATTTCAGGAGAGCATAATTGCTTTTGGTCTTGATTCAGACTTTCCTTTATCATTATTCAACACTAGTTTCTAAAGTAATGGTTTAGGGATTGCTTTCACTAGTAATCTAAAATAAACCTTACTTCACTTCCAAGATAATTGCACCTCATAATATCCACTAATTCAAATAAGTGAAAATAATATAAAGAAAGATCACCCCTATTAAAATATCAGTGATATCATTTCAACAACTTTTTTGCCTGAAGATGAGTGCATGTTAATAAATATACTCTACGTTTAGGTAAAAAATATATAGTTTGTACTATTTTGGGTTTCTTTCTTTAGTACCAAATGCAAAAGATATAAAAGCATGTGCTAACTGTCATTTGAATTAAAAGGATGCTAGCACAAACAGAAGACTTCTACTTGAGTGAGGAAATGAGGAAAATGCTGCATTTAGACTTACTTCCTAGAAACACTGCAGAATTCATTATCCTTATTTCCAGAAGCAACTGCTTGACAAATGAAGGTTATTCTAATGTTGGTAAAGGTAAAGGTAAAGGTTCCCACAAACAAGTGAAAATAATATACAGCAAAGGCAGGTCACCCCTATTAAAATATAAGTGATATCATTTCAACAACTTTTTTGCCTGAAGATGAGTGCATGTTAACAAATATACTCTACGTATAGGTAAAAAAATATAGTTTGTACTATTTTGGGTTTCTTTAGTACCAAATGCAAAAGACATAAAAGCATGTGTTAACTGTCATTTGAATTTAAAGGATGCTAATATAAACAGAAGACTTCTACTTGAGTGAGGAAATAAGGAAAATGCTGCATTTGAGGTTTTTGAAACACTGGAGAATTCATTATCCTTATTTCCAGGAGCAACTGCTTTACAAATGAAGGGTATTCTAATGTTGGGGGGGGGGTATAAAAAGACCCTATATCTAAACAGAGCTCTCTTCATAGGTTGGGGAGGGTATAAAAAGGCCCTATATCTAAACAGAGCTCTCTTCATAGTTCTTTGGGTTTACACACAACTGTTTTATGCAGATCCTGACCGAAGTTGTCCTCAATTAAAAAAAAAAAACATGTAAAATTAACAGCCACCTTAATGAGCACAATTTTTAGTACAAATACCCAGTTATATATGGAGAGTTTTAAGACAGAACCAGATTTATATATAAAAAAACTTTTAATTTCTAACACTTTTTAAAAGATCATTTTTCTGTTAAAAAATTGCAAGAGAACTGTCTTTTAATTCCATTATTTGTTATTTTGAGAAAGGAATGTGGGTTCAAAAATCCTTAATAAGCATGTCACTTTACCCGCTTGCCTCTGGAGGGAATCTAACAATGACCTTTCCCATCTCTGCACCAGGAAGCTCAACGAACTTGCCAACATCTTGTTTCTTTTCTGTTGCCTTAAAATTAAAGCAATGATGAATTATTGAAGTGTGTAGGGGAATACAAAAATTGTTTTCTGAAAAATGATTAACAACTTAGCTACTGAATTATTGTTGGAAATGTGATATAGTACTCTTTGCACAAATATACTATCTATTTAGGTGCACTTTGTTGTTGTTCTTACTAAGCATGTTCTTTAGCTGAAAAAGGTACAAAGCTCTATAGTGTGTGAATGACAGCCCTGTAACAGCTATCTCAACTGCTCAGCTCATGTCTGAATTTGTTGGTTTTCTTTACTTTTTATTCACCAACCTTTCAGTATTAAATATTACCCTGGATATTAAAAAAATAACTGTGGGTTCATTAGGAAAAAAATAAATAAAAAGGACACAATACAAAGACCTTTCAACTGGATCAACAAAAAGGCCACATACACACAAATCAAGTTTTTCTTTTCTGGCCATTCTTAAAATCGCAATTCTTTCTTAAGTTACAAACAACATTGCTAATTCAGATCTTACATGCCCATATTTATTACAGTTATGCAGTAGCACACTGACTTTTTTGCTTATTCCTTTACAAACAAATCATTCTTACTCAATGACAGAATTTTAACAGAATCTGATCCAGAGATACTTGCTCAGCAAAAAGCTTACCATTTTAGCCTTTGGAATGGTACCTCCCTCAATCCACCTGGAGCCAACAGACTGAAAAATATGTTGCGCCTCAAGAAAGTTGTACCAGCGTTTTACATGGACTAGAGTATTAGCCTGAAGTAACTGCTCCTGCCATGCGTTACTGCCTGTTGGAAAACAAATGTGCTTTATTAAAAATTAGGGAAACATGAAATTTGAAAAGATATACCATTGTGACTCACAACAAACAGCAGCACGGCTTAATACTTGTAGTTTAATTATGAAAAAGGGACATCACTGCAAGATATCACAGCATATATGATGTATGGTAGATACGTATCTGGTAAAATGACAAAAATACTGTACTGCTATTTACACAAAATTCTATAACAGACAAAAGTAAGCATAGCATTCTATGATTATTAACTACAAACATCATCATTTATAGCAGTGGTTCTTAACTTTGGGTTACTCAGGTCTTTTTGAACTGCAACTCCCAGAAACCTCAGCCAGTACAGCTGGTGGTGAAGGCTTCTGGGAGTTGCAGTCCAAAAACACCTGAGTAACCCAAGGTTAGGAACCACTGATTTATAATATACTACAGAAGTGAGTACACCAACCCACATTTCATAAATATTTTAGTGTATCTTGTCATGTGACAATACTGAAGAAATGACACTTGGCTACAATATAAAGCAATGAGTATACAGCTTGTATAACAGTGTAAATGTGCTGTCCCCTCAAAATAACGCAACACACAGCAGTACTCACTTCTGTGATATACTGTATGTAAACATATACAAACACCAGTTATCAAAGTATAAACATTTTAGCATTTTTATTTGTTGTTTTACCTTTTAGTGTTGCCCATACACTGAAATCTGCAAGACTCAAAGAGTTCCCAACTAAGTAGGTTCTCAGAGAAAGGGCATTGTTGAGCTCTTGAACTGCTAAGGCAAAATCAGTAGAAGACAGCCTTGTGGTGCTGAATTCCAGCCAGTGGTCAATCTTTGGGAAAGGATAAAATTAGTTTTTTTTAAACATTACCCAGCAAGTTAAATACAGATGTTAAGTGTTGGCAACAAACATATACTCCCATTATAAAGATATAAATTATGATAAATAATACTATTGAATAAACATTATTTAGTTAATAAAACTTTGCAACTTGTAGGGAAGCCAACCAAAAATGTAGTTCCAGGCAATATTAAATATACAAGACTGCTGCCTACCTCAGTGTGTTCTAGCAAATTAGTTCCATATAAACCAGAAGAGGTGGCAATTCTGGCCAGATAGCGAACGATGGAGTTCACATCAGTGAACGTAACTTCACTATCAAACAAGGAAAAAAAGAAAATAAATATATTTCAGTATCTGCATTTAAAATTTAACTTCATTCAAATTAATTATTCAAGATATGTCCAGATGAATTGATGGGCATGTTGCAACAAAAATAAATAAAATAAACATATACACCTCTTTTTCAGAATTACCTATACCAGAATAATGAGCAATGTTTAGGGAAACTGTGTTAATTTGATTCCATTTGTTTGATTCCTATCCTCCATAGCAGTGGATCCCAGTCTTGGGTCCCAAATGTTCTTAGACTAAAACTCCCAGGAGCCTTCATCACTAGCTGTGCTGGCCAGGATTTCTGGGAGTTTTAGTCCAAGAAAATCTAGGGGCGCAGGGTTGGGAAGCACTGATCTATAATCAAAACAATCCTGCTCAATTTTCCATGTGGTAGCCTTCCAAATAATTGAAGATATCATCTCCTAATTTTCTGTCCTCCAGGTGAAACATACATTTAACACAGTCCCTCACCAAAGGCTGCTGAGAAAATTCCACAGTCAGGGGATAAGAGAGGAGGTCCTCCTTTGGACTGAGAATTGATTGAGAACCAGGAAACAGAGAGTAGATGTCAATGGGCAATTTGCACAATGGACAGAGGTGAAGAGTAGTGTGCCCCAAGGATCTGTCCTGGGACCGGTGCTTTTCAACCTGTTCATAAATGACCTGGAGACAGGGATAAGAAGTGAAGTGGCCAAGTTTGCAGATGACACGAAACTTTTCTGGGTGGTGAAGACCAGAAGAGATTGTGAAGAGCTCCAGAAGGATCTCTCCAAACTGGAAGAATGGGTGGCAAAATGGAAATGTGTTTCAATATAAGAAAATGTAAAGTAATCCACATGGGGGGGATCAAAACTTTAGTTATCAGCTGACGGGTTCTGAACTGTCTGTGACACATAAAGAAATAAATCTTGGTGTGCTGGTGGACAGCCATCAAGAAAGAAATCTTGGTGTGCTGGTGGACAGCTCAATGAAAGTGTCAACCCAGTGTGCAGCAATTCCATGTTAGGTATCATTTAAAAAGGGATTGAAATTAAAACAGCCAACATTATAATGCCATTGTACAAAACACTGGTAAGGCTGCACCTGGAGTACTGCGAACAGTTCTGGTTGCTGCACCTCAAAAATACATAGTAGAACTGGAAAAGGTGCTGCACCTCAAAAATGACATACTGGAACTGGAAAAGGTGCAGAACAGAGCGACTAAAACGATGACTGGGCTGAGGGACCTCCCTTATGAGGAAAGACTACAGCGTTCGGGGCTCTTTAGTCTAGAAAAAAGGTGCCGGAGAGAGGGACATGATTGAGACATGTAAGATTATGCAAGGGTGGATAAAGTGCATAAAGGGAAGCTCTTTTCCCTCTCACGCGATACCAGAACCAGGGGACATCCACTCCAATTGAGTGTTGGAGAACAGACAAAAGAAAATATTTCTTTACCTAGCATGTTGTTAGTCTGTGGAACTCCTTGCCACAGAATGTGGTCATGGCATCTGACCTACATGCCTTTAAAAGGGGATTGGACAGATTTCTGGAGGAAAAGTCCATCGCAGGTTACAAGCCATGATGGGGATGTATACTCTCCAGGCTTAAAAGGAAGGTACCTCAAAATGCCAGATGCAAGGGAGGGGTATCAGGAGACAGGTATCTAGTTGTCTCGTGTGCTCCCAGAGGCATCTGGTGAGGCCACTGTGAGATACAGGAAACTGCACCTGATGGGCTCTTGGCCTGATCCAGCAGGGCTCGTCTTATGTTCTTATACCCAGGCATCTCAACCATTCCTCATATGGTTTGGTTGCCAGACTGATTACCATCTTGGTTGCTCTCTTCAGGAAAGGTTCACCAGCCTGCAGATGACACCCAACTCTATCTCTCCTTTCCATCTAAATCTGAGGAAGATGTTTCAATTCTAGATCAACTGGATGAGAGTGAATAAACAGAAACTAAATCCAGATTCGACAGCAGTGCTCCTTGTCAGCAGAAAGGCAGATCAAGGAATAGGGATTCAGCCTGTGTGGGATGGACACCCCCCCCACAGACTCAGGTGCACAGCTGGCAGTGCTCCTGGATTCTTCTCTGAGCTTGTATGCCCAGGTTCAGGTTCTAGACACTGCACTTTAAGAAGGATGGCAACAAAGTTCAGAGAAGGGCAACAAGGATGATCAGAGGACTGGAAACCAAGCCCTGTGAGGAAAGACTGAAAGAACTGGGCATGTTTCGCCTTGAGAAAAGAAGACTGAGGGAAAATATGATAGCCCTTTTCAAATACTTGAAAGACAGCCATACAGAGGAGGGGCAGGATCTGTTCTCCATCATCCCAGAGTGCAGGACACGGAATAATCGGCTCAAGGTACAAGAAGCCAAACTTGGGAATATCAGGAAAAAGTACTCAACTACCTTTTCCCACAAGCCTTTTATTTCCTTACCCCAGAGTAATCTTGCCAATTGACTGGGCTTTTCTCTTTGTTTTGTTTTTTGCTTATGAACCTAATTTGTTTTTTGCCACCTAATCTCTATTGTATTTAATATTTTTTTAAAAAATTATAGTTTCTATTTTTTGCCAGTTATTTTATTTTTCTTATGTTTGATTTTTACTGATTACCTGAGTAATATTGGGTTGTTTGTACTGTGTTATTATTATTTGTTTGCCACCCTGAGTGAGTGAGTGAGTGAGTGAGTGAGTGAGTGAGTGATCCACTTCTGGGCACAATTCAAAGTACTGTTTTTAACCTATAAAGCCCTAAATGATTTGGGTCCAAGCTATCAAAGACTGCATCTCCCTTTATGAGCCTTCCCTGGCATTAAGCTCATTAGAGGAGGCCTTTCTCTTGGTCCCACCACCCTCACTCGTATGACTGGTGGCTACATGAGAGAGGGAGCCTTCTCTGCTGCTGCTCCCAGACGCTGGAACTTCATCCCATGGAAGGCCAGGCAGGCCCCATCTTTGTTGTCTTTCTGCAAGCGGGCAAAGACCTTTCTCTTCAGACAGGCTTTTCCTTAGTGACAGGCTAAGAGAGGTTCTGAAAGAAGATGGTTTTTATTTTTGCTGCCTTTAAATCTGTTTTAGTAATGTATTTACTTCTCATTTTTAATATAATGTTTATTTAATTCTTTTTAAATATTTCAATAATTTATTGTTTTTAGCTTTCAATGTTGTGTTTTTAATGTGGTAAGCCACCATGGGCCCTTTTTTAGGAGAAAGCTGCGGGAAGATATATTTTAAATGAACAAATAAATAAATAAACCACCTACAATTCAGTTGTCCTTATTTGATATTAACTTTCTTATCAGAATGTCTATCTCAAGAACAGCAAATGACAGTCAAATAAAGCAGGACGTTCTCCCATCCTGCACCTCACAGAATCACAGGCCTATCTCCAAACTCATCTGAACAGCCATCAAAGAATGAGAGAAAGTATGACTAAGTAGATGTACCATTTTTTCGCTCCATAAGATGCACCTGACCATAAGACGCACCTAATTTTTAGAAGAAAACGGGGAAAAATATTCTGAACAAGTACAGTACAAGAAATGTTTCCCGCGAAGAGCTCCAGAAGTAAAACTGCACCCCCTTTCAGAGAATGGTATGCTCTGTCTTTGCGCATGCGCCTACAACTGCTAAGGCATCAGGGGTAGGGAGCCACCAGCTCCCTTACCACCCCAGCCAGCTCATTATCTCTATGGGATTCGTCAGTTGACCGCTCATGGTCCAGAAGCGCTCCTAGGCGCTGCCCTGGAAGGGGAGGAGAAGGGTGGTGTGGTGGTGATGGTGGCGGTGGGGGCCTGGCCCTGGTGCTGAACAAAGCAATATCGGTGGCAGCTGAGAGAGGGGGAAGCTGGAGGCATCAGCATGGAAGGCGGGAGGCGGAGCTCACCTCTTTCCCTGCGGAGTCGTACTTTCGTTGCCGGCGGTGGGAAGCCAAAGAAGATTCCCGGGGCCTCCTGTCGGGCTTGGGTTGGGGTCAGGAGGGTAAAAAAAAGTGGTGGGGGAGGGGGAGACTGGAGAAAGAAGATGCTGCTCTTTGTGGAGGTGAGTGAGTGAGTGGGGGTTGCGCCACGTGACTCTCTCAGGTGGCATGTGCCCGGCAGCCCTCCCACCAGGTGGGGGGGAGGGGGGATAGGATTGACACAGCAAATATCTGCCTTGTCACCCGCGCAGAAAGGAAGCTTGCATTCGAGGTGCCATCGGGGGTGAAGGGGTGTGCATGTGGAGGGCTGGGGGGGTTAGGCGGTGGCCCAGCAGTTGCGAAGGGAAGAGAAGGCAGCCAGCTAAGGACTGGCGGTGGGGGGGGAGGAGTACAGAGCCCAGCCACATATGACAGCAGCATGAGCTCTGGGGGGGTCTGTTAATGTCCACAAATTGCACCATTTTTAACAGTATTCACTCCATAAGACGCACACAGTTCCCCCCACTTTTTTTGGGGGGGGGAAGTGCGTCTTATGGAGTGAAAAACACGGTACATCTCCACATGCAGCTACACACACTAGGCCTGTAGAGGCTCTGGGACTTCTAATTCTTCTGTTCAACAGAATATGTGTCCATCTATCAGGTCTCATGACAAGCACTATGTAGCTCACTAGCCAAAGTTAAGAGAAAACCTAGAAGATAGCTACAGTGTCCCACTCCAAATAATGTTATCAAGAGAAAAAGTAAAACATGCCTAAATACTGGAAAAAAGTTTATTTATTTATTTATTTATTTATTTATTTATTTATTTATTTATTTATTTATTTATTTATTTATTTAACATTTATTTATTTATTTATTTATTTATTTATTTATTTATTTATTTATTTATTTATTTATTTATTTATTTATTTATTTATTTATTTATTTATTTAACATATATGCCGCCCACACTACCCGAAGGTTTCTGGGCGGCTTACAATGTTTAAAATACAATAAAAAGGCAAAATAAAAGGGCAAAATAATTAAAAAACAATTAAAAATATATACTCTAAAAATTTTATTTATTTATTTATTTATTTATTTATTTATTTATTTATTTATTTATTTATTTATTTATTTATTTATTTATTTATTTATTTATTTAGCATATATGCCGCCCACACTACCCGAAGGTCTCTGGGCGGCTTACAGCATTTAAAATACAATAAAAAGGCAAAATGACAATAGGTTTTTCCCGGAAGATTAACTATTTAAAAAAAGATAAGGAGCAGCATCTGTAACTACACAAGAGCCAAAAACTTAAAGTATTAAATAACTATCCACCCTGTACTAAAACAGCATTTTTCTTTCTCCTGGTCTCCAGCATCAATATTGTATCTATTGAGTTTTAAAACACTAATGGCAGAGATAGGAGGAACTTACTCAGATACCCGGAGGATGGTCTCTTTGCCTTCTTCAACTGAAATTTTAACATGCTCTTTCACATGCTCTGCAGTCAGCAAGGCTCCTAAGAATACAAGATTTGACAATGAAAATAGGAAGCAATTCACATAGTTTTAAAAAGACCTTCAGCATTTTACCCTGAACACAAAGAGAAGACATCCTTTCAAATGCTGGCATCCTTCTCCTAGAAAAACTGAAGGGCTAGATCAAGAGCAGTCTTCAGCGATGACCTCAGAAGGAACTGACTGTCTATTTGTTTCCTGATGCTAATACAAAATGTATGTGGTTTATTATTATTACTAAAGTCACAGCCCAGCCAAATCTTAACTGCTTCTATGCCTTGAAGCTTTCAAGAAGAGTATTAAATCAATATAAACAGAATCTGAAAATGGATTCACTTTAGCTGAATCACGTTTCAACTCTTTGTTTCAGTGAATTCCATACTTCTAAACTTCCAGACAGAATTCTTAGGGTAACACTTGTATCTATTTGAACTGATATTTATTGAAAATATTAAATAAAACAAACAAACAAAGCTAATTTGTTCCAATTACAGGAGACATGAGTGAGCAGGCAGGTCACTTTTTCAATCAAAATAACAAAGCATCTTTTAGCACTTTAAAGAACAGGAAGCTTTATGTACTTGGCATAATCATTCATGGACACACATCTCATGTTATCTAATAAGCAATTAACTAAAGTAACTTAAAATCATGACAGGATAGAAAAGCTACTGCTTCATGTTATTCATATCACTAAGTAACTACAGAAACAGCAATTACCACCTACACGACAGTAAAAACTGAAACCATCATTAGTATTAAGTAACTTTTGTACAAGTGAGGACTTAGGTGGTAACGGATAGAATGGTGGCCTAGGATTCAGGAGACCTGAGTTTGAATTCCCGCTCAGACATGGAGACTCATGTGGTGGAATAGGACTGATAAAACCATTCCTTAAATATATTATTTAATTTGAAAACCATGTTACAGTCACTGTAAGTTTGTTCCAACTTGACTTGCACAGAACAGAAAATAATATTACAGTCGTGCCCCGCTTAACGAGGAAATCGCTTTACGATGAGGTTTTTGCGATCGCAATTGTGATCGCAAAATGATGGTCTAAATGGGGGAATTTCGCTTAGCGATTATCGGTTCCCTGCTTTGGGAACCGATTTTCGCTTTATGATGATCAAAAACAGCTGATCGTCGGGTTTCAAAATTGCCTCCGGCTAAAGAAAATGGCCCCCCACTGTGCTTAGGGACGGAATTCTCGCTGCACAGGCATGGATAATGCCTATGGAGGATCTTCATTGGACGGTGAGTTTTCAGCCCATTGGAACGCATTAACCGGGTTTTAATGCGTTTCAATGGGCTTTTTAATTTCATTTGATGATGTTTTCACTCTACAGCGATTTTGCTGGAATGAATTAACATTATCAAGTGAGGCACCACTGTATTCAACTCCATAAATATGGATTTCAGAATGTACACTATTCCATGGCCACATTATAAAAAAATTTTATATGCAGCATTATGTAAGAAAATTCTGGCCCAAATCATGTCCTTAGTATACATCACACTAGTCTATTGTATCAATGGAGATTTGATGAGTCAACTCCTCCATAAGTTTCACTGATTCAAATGGGCATATAACTGCAACTTACTTTAGTTGCAGTTAGAGTAGGCCAATCTGAATTAATGGAACTTATCAAGGAATTGACTCACGAAATTTCCACTGGTTCAATGGACCTCTTCTAGTGCAATTTGCTAAGCAACAGGATTTGGGCCATTTTGTTGATCAGGAACAGAATTTGAAAATTAATTGTTGGGAGTTATGTTCAAGAAGACGAAATCTAAATACAGTTATTAGTCTGAGTTTGAGTAGATCAATGAATGAGCTTGTCAAACCAACAGTTACTGAAGTCCCACTGACTCAATGGGTCTACTCGAGTTGGAAATAACAACTGGATTTGGCCCAGCTGCTACTGCAAAAACAGAGACATTTGGAGACAGTAAAACAGAAAAATTTGCAAGAGCATATTACTAGGCCTATGGCACAGCTGCAACCTTATGCACATTTATTTAGAAACAGATCCTATTGAACTAGGGATTTATTCTATTCAAATGAACTTGGAAGACATTTACAGTAATTCCAAGTACATATACACAGTTATATCTTAACCTGTGTAAACCCAATGCATGTTTATTCAGGAGTAAGTTCCAGTGAATTCCACCAGGTAAAGGTAAAGATTGCCCTTGACATTTAGTCCAGTCGTGTCCGACTCTAGGGCGCAGTGCTCATTTTCGTTTCCAAGCCGTAGAGCCAGCGTTTTGTCCAAAGACAGTTTTCGTGGTCATGTGGGCAGCATGACTAGACATGGAACGCCATTACCTTCCCACCAAGGTGGTACCTATTTATCTACTTGTATTTTTACATGCTTTTGAACTGCTAGGTCGGCAGGAGCTGGGATGAGTGACGGGAGCTCACTCTGTGGCGTGGATTCGATCTTACGACTGCTTGGTCTTCTGACCTTGCAGCACAGAGGCTCTCCCAAAATAAGTACACACAGAACTAAAACCTAGGATTATTTGGAAAATGAACCATCCAACCCTGGAAATAAAGTATTTTGAGCCTAGCACTGGGCTGCAGAATAACTAAAATCATAAATATGACTTCAGTGTGCTTAAAAGTTTCTTCATTTTAGGCCATGTACCTGGGAATAACTTCCAGTGAACATAGCAGGGCATATTTTGTAGGCGTGCTGTAAATATTTGAAAACCACTCATTCAACTCATAGGGAAGATGTACTTTAGGCTTGACTCAGCATTCAAGCAGCCATTGTTTCCAGGTTGAAGAATTTTTTAAAATCCAGAGAGAGGTGGGAGTTGGAAGAGGGGAAATCAGCAGCATCTTAAAATCTCTCCTATTATGTTCCTGGTCAAATCAAGCATGAACTTTCACTAGAAGTTAAAATAATTACACTGAAGCTACTGTATTTTGGACACCCTATGAGAAGGGCAAAATTCAATCAAAAAGACAATAATGACAGCAAAAATTATAGGCAGTAGGAAAAGAGGAAGACCTAACAGGATTGACTCATTAAAGAAAACTACAATCTTTGATCCACAAGATCTGAGCAGGACTGTAAGTAATAGTACCTTTCAGATGTCATTAATTCAAAGGGTCACCGCATACCGGAAGCAAGATGATACAAAATCACAATTACCGTACGTATGCACGGCTGCACATTTACTTGGAGGGAAGTCCTATTGTTCTTGGTGAGACCTACTCAGTGAGAATACATAGAAGGATGCTACACTTCAACAAAATGTGTTTATACATGCATAGTTTTTTAAAAAACATTTACTGTCTGGTTTGCAGCAAGTATTGGAAACTATTAGGGCATGCAGAATCACAAGTTCAACATTTTAGTTGACTGAGGAGTACTGGTGCAGACAGGTTCACATTATTTAATATACTGTAGTCTATGCTAGAGTCATTTTGGAAACAGGATGACAAGCTGTAATTAAGGTATAGAAATTCCATGACTAAGCATAAATCCTTCAGAGCTACATACACTAGGTCTAAAAGTAGTTCTGATTCAGGAAAAAAATTCCTTAAAGAATTCCCTAAAGAGAGAGACAGTCTTTGCTATTTAAAATCAATATTGGTAGCCTTCATCTCTCAAATTTTACATTTTCTCACAGCATGTGAACTCCAGATTCCTTATTTTCTGAATTTGTTCTGTCTAATGAGGTTTACACATCATATGATTATAATTTACAATCAAAGATACGGAGCAGAGAGGAGGTGGCTTACAAAGCAATACTGTATGTCACTTCTTAGACATACTACCCAGTTCAATAGGATATATTTCAAATTAAATGTGCACAAACACCCAGCCTTGATCACAGCACACGAACAAGAATATCTCAAAGCTTAAAATGGGGAAAAGTTTTCTTTGAAAAAATAGATTTATTTGAAACAATCAAGTCATCTGAAACAGTGCAGGAGTTTTACAGATACCATGGACTACAAAAAGGAAAATAAGTAGGTGCTAGATCAAAATAAGATTGAATTCTGTAAGTCAACATGACTAAACTGAAGATATCTTATCTGGGCCATAGCATGAGAAGACAAGACTCACTAGAATAATGATGGTTGGGAAAGTGGAAGGCAGCAGGAAAAGAAGAAAAGTGAACGTGAGATGGATTGACTTAATAAAGCCTTTGCTACAGACAGGCTGTTTTGGAGGCCACTATCTTATAAGGTTGCCACAAATCACAAGCATCTGACAACACAAATCAATAATTTAAAAATTAAAAGGTACGGCTGTGATTTATGTGGCCACCATGGGGCACATGCTCAATAACAACAAATCAAGCCACAAATCCTAAGATAAAGTGATCTATATGCGCACACAGAGAAGTGAATAGATAGACTGCATATATCCAACTATAGAGGGAGAAATCTTTATTACAATCAACAAAATAGATAACATACATCCCTCTATGTATCCACATATTTCACATCCCTTACATATGTGGATGTAGCCACATTTGTTAAGTTCGGTGAGAAGGAGCCTTTGGTAACTACCCTAGCCCTGCACTGCTGCAGACTGTCACCAATAACCTCCTAAGCAAAGTCATTTTTGAAAATCCGGATGCCAGTCTTAAGGGCGCTAATTATGCCTCGACAAAGGTGATTAAAGGATAACTAATCCAGAGGCACAGATTGTGACAGATGTTCGTGGCCTACACGTAGAGCCCAGAAGATTCCCTCCTGTCACCAACTTCGGCGTCTCCCAACATCCCCGCCACGTGTCCACTTCTCCCGGCTTACAGACCTCTCCACACACACACACACGGGCATGCACGCACCGTTTCCTCGCCACTGCCCCACCTCCCTGTCCCTGCCCGTTTCCCTTTTTCTCTCCCGGGTCACCCCTGAGCGCTTTCCCTGGCCGGATCGCCCCCCGTCCCTGGCTCTCGTCCATCGGTCTCTTTGTCCGTCTCGCCGCCCCAAAAACCCCTCAGGGAGAGAAGATTCGCTTCGGTCCTCCCGCTCCCTCTCCCTCCGGCGCCCTGCCCTTGGCGCCGTCCCCAAACGTCCCCCCCCCAACCCCGGGACCGTGCCCGGCGAGGGGCAGAGGAACGGGCGGCCAGGACCCGGGCGGCGCACGCAGCCTGATGCAACATGGCAGCAATACACGCCCCGCTTCCCGGCTCCGGGAAGGACCGGCGAAGACAGCGCACGGCCAGGAGGGGCGGCAAGGTAGGAGCCTGGGTCCCCGGGGAGCCGGACAGCCCTTACCGAGAGGCAGGTTCCCGGGGTTCACCGTCAGGCTCAGCGCCATTCCAGCAGCAACGACAGCAGCGGGGAGACGGACAGCGCAGCAGCAGCGGCGAAGGCTCGCTCTGAGGCGGAGGACGGACCGCCCCTTTTCCCAGGCAGGCCCTGCTGCCGCCTCGGCGCCGCCTCCTCCTCCCTCGGCCTGGTCCCAAGGCCCTTGGCAACGGCGGAGCCAGCGCGTCCTCCGTCGGCAGCCAAAACTGGCTTCGCCCCGCCGGGCCCTAAATTAAGCTTCGGCCGAGGGTCGTCCTTCTTCTCCTTCGCGGAACTAGAGCGCCTGACTTCATGTGTTGGGGGCGGCGGGGTGGTCTAGCGACCTGAAAAGAGTCGCTTAAATTGGGTCCACTTGGAGTAGATTTATGAGAATAAATACGATTTAACCAGCCCTATTTATTTCAGAGGATCTAGTCTATGTCGGGCCGTGTGGTTGGAGTGTACGTTAGGAAGCCTGTCGTATCGTGGGAATGGACTTATCCGTCCTTAGTGGAGTTTACACATTAGAGGAAGAAGACCCATTTTCCACTCAGAATAGGACTAACTTAGGGAAAGGGGCAGATTCACAGGCTTCAGTTAAAACCGTTAATTGCAGGTGGGAAGGGTGATATAGGGGTGAGAAGGAAGTCTGATTCTGTATTTGTTAACAGCTTTTTCCAGTAGCAATGTATGGAAGTGAGAGCTGGACCATAAAGAAGGCTGACCACCAAAGAATTGGTGCTTTTGAATTGTGGTGCTGGAGGAGACTCTTGAGAGTCCCCTGGACTGCAAGGAGAACAAACCTATCCATTCTGAAGGAAATCAAGCCTGAGTGCTCACTGGAATGACAGATCATGAAGCTGAGGCTCCAGTACTTTGGCCATCTCATGAGAAGAGAGGACTCCCTGGAAAAGACCCTGATGTTGGGAAAGTGTGAGGGCACGAGGAGAAGGAGAGGACAGAGGACGAGATGGGTGGACAGTGTCATCGAAGCAACCAACATGAATTTGACCCAACTCTGAGAGGCAGTGGAAGGCGGGAGGCCTGGCGTGCTCTGGTCCATGGGGTTACAAAGAGTCAGACATGGCTTAACAACTAAATAACAACTCCTAGATGCCGTGTAAAGGATTAGTGGTATGGGTTGCTATTACTGTTTCAATATTTTAACTATTTGGCAATATTTTAACTATTTGAGGGCCCAAGATTCACTTTCTCAGTGTCATCTGAGACAGGTGATTTAGGTTGCTGGTAAACAAGAACTGCTGGACAGCTCAGTGGCTTAGGTCTCTTGTCTGCTGAGCCAAAGGTTGTGGGAGTTTTATTCCCCACTGTGCCTCGATAATCCATAGGGTCCCTTCCAGTTCTGCAGTTCTAAAATGATGATCCAGGTACCGTCTTCTTGTAGTCCAAAACATCTGGAAAGTGCCAGGTGATTGTAAAATAAAAAAGCAAAACATGCTGCTTATATACCACCCCATAGCACTTAAAGCACTCTCTAGCTAGAATAGCCACTCTTTTGAATTGCTATGGAACCTTCAGTGAAAGGAAACTTTAAACACTGACAAGATTTAACATAATTAAAATACTGAAACAAGATACTAGGAAAATCTATCCAATTTAGCTTCTATCAATGCTTAAATGTTGGGAATCATCTAAAATTATCTTCAGCTTTACTATTAAAACTGTCTAGTCTTTCCCTTCTGGCTTTTCAGTCTATGTACCTGTACATTTTACTTTGTCAAGGACAAACGGCTGGGTTTTATGTTTGTAAAGATGAAACATCTGCTTTTTTCCTTCCCAGTAGCCCTTGTCATTTAAAACCATCTCAGTTCCTGAAACAGCCTATCCTAAATGTCTGCATCTTCCCACCTTCATCATAAGGCCATAATCAGATGCCAGGTTTTTGTAGTATCTAAGGAGTAAATAGCACTCATTATAATATGTGTTTTGTTTAACATCTCGATTGATGAACACAAAAGTTTAAAGGACAGAGAGAGAGAGAGTAAGGTAAGATTTTCAAGGTACATGAGATGTTTAAGAAGCAATTTACTGTTTTTACCCCACAATAATTTCCCATAGCCAAGCAAGGATTTGAACCCAGATCATTATCCACTGTAACACACCCTGGCTCTATTAAATAACCTGTGCTTGCTTATTTGTCGCATACTTTCTTACAAGGCTGCTGTACATAGACCTGGGACACCTTATGCATGTAGGTCAGAGCCAAATTGTTGCTCCTGCCCCCAAATGCCCACTAATGTAATAGGAAATGTATGACTACCTTATGCATCATGTGACAATCTGGCTGGGAGCCCAATCTGTGGTAAGACAGGAGCACTAAGAGTTCTTAAGCAGCATCAGAAGATAATCCTGTGGCACCTGGAGGACTAATATGTATTGTGGCCTAACGTTTCATGCTAGGACCCCACCTTTCCATGTCTGAAATGCTGTATTTCTTTGGTACAGCAAAATGCCTCTCATAAAATAAGTGTCCATATAGAGGGAAAAAAACACTATAAAACTTGTCACTTCTGCCTGGAAGATAAACACCTAGCTGTGGTCTTAACTGATATCATGTAGGGATAACTTTTCTGTTGCAAGAAGTTGGATTTTTTAAATGTTAACCCTAATAAAAATTAGATAATAAGCATTTTCATGATTGCCATATGAATAAATGAATTCATAAATCTATGTTTCAGATTTTACCTAGAAAGTATTTTTAAACCATCAGTGAATGGCATCATTTGGCAATCAGACTTTTAACTGGTGAGCAACATTTGTGCAATTCATAATACTATAGTATACAAACAAGAGCATGGGTTGCCTGTTTGCTTCCAGGCTCAATTCAAAAATACTGCTGCTTAATTTTAAAGCTACAAATAGATTTGGACCAAAATACTTATGCAGAGGCCTTCTTTCAAGGGAGTGTCTGTACTGAAATGGACACAGTCGAATGGGTTGAGGCTGAACCCAGACAAGACGGAGGTCTTGAGGGTGGGCGGCCCTGCCATTAGTGGTATAGGTGACTCCCTTTCTTTTGGGGGGAACGACCCTTACCGCAAAGAATGAGGTCCACAGCTTGGGGATACATCTGGACCCGGCGCTTACCATGGAAACTCAGGTGGCGTCCGTGGTCCGCTCCGCCTATTTTCATCTATGGTGGATTGCCCAGCTGCGACCATATCTTGATGGGGAGGCCCTCACTACTCTAGTCCACGCGCTCGTAATCTCAAGATTAGACCATTGTAATGCGCTCTACGTGGGGCTGCCTTTGAGGTTGATGCGGAAACTTCAGATGGTCCAGAATGCGGCAGCCAGGCTTCTTAGTGGGGTGAGAAAATATCAGCATATCTTCCCCACTCTGGCTGCCTTGCACTGGTTGCCCATCCATTTCCACATTGAATTCAAAGTATTAGTGATTACTTATAAAGCCCTAAATGGTTTAGGACACTGGCTCTTAACCTTAGGTTACTCAGGAGTTTTGGACTGCAACTCCCAAAAGCCTTCACCACCAGCTGTCCTGACTGGGGTTTCTGGGAGTTGCAGTTCAAAAGCATCCGAGTAACAAAAGTTAAGAACCACTGGTTTAGGACCTCGATATCTGGCAGAGCGCGTTCTCCCTCCCAGTTCTACCAGAGATACTCGTTCTAGCCAGGCCGGGCAACTGAGGGGCCTAATGTCAAGGAAGGCCTGGAAGGAAAGAATGAGGAACTGGTAAAATCATGCCATCCTGGTAATATCTTGTTTGGAATTTAAGTGCTATAATTGTATTTTTTGTGATTTTATGCATGTTATATTGATGTATTTTTATCGATGTAAGCCGCCCCGAGTAGACATAGTCTAGAGGGGCAGGGTAAAAATCAAATAAATAAATAAATAAATTTAAGAATGCCTTACAGAGGAGATAAGTCTTTTTGTGATTGTGCTTCAACTCTGGAACATTCTTGCAGATGTAGTGCCTCTGTAGTATTTTCAGCAACAAGTATTTCTAATTAGCCTAACAATTTTAAATGATAATGTTGCCTCTGCTTGCTCTGTGGTTTTTAAAATTTTGTCTGCTTCACTACTTTGATTAACTATTGTTTTTGCACTGTACTGTATTTGCATTAGTGTGATCTACGTATTCTGTTCATACCTGCATACCATAGGCAGCATATGATTAGGTGTCCCCCTCCCCCAATTTTGGAATTAAGTGCCCCGTTCCTTGTGCTTCCCTTGCTTTGTAAAATTCCCTGTTTAGCTGAAGGGCAGTGTGGAAATAAATCATAATATTTTGATGGTGAGGTTAATTGAGCCTTGTGGCGCAGTGATTAAACTGCAGTCAAGATTCTGCTCATGGCCTGAGTTCAATCCTCATAGGCTCAGGTAGCCAGCTTGAGGTTGACTCAGCCTTCCATCCTTTCCTAGGATGGCAAAATGAATACCTAGTTTACTGGGGGGCAATGCGTAGCTTGCATAATTAAACTGTAAACTACTCAGAGAATACTTTAATTGCTGTAGGGCAGTGTATAAGCAGCACACTTTGCTTTAATGAAACAAACATTTCCTGAAATGAGCTATTTTAAAAGTGCATAAAGATTCAATTTTAGAAAGAAATATATACAAATTTGCTATCCACAATTAAATGAAACAAAAATAATTTTGCTTGGTTTGACTTGATTTTATTTTAAGAAAATAACCAAGAGATATTTAAAAAATTCAAAACCATTTTACATAAGAAATAATCCAAGATCAAATAACAAAATGTTCCAGTGAAGTACATGTTGGAAAAAATCATAATGTGATCACCAGAGGACAGAGTGTGGGATTCTTTTAGAAATAGTTTGCTAGACAAGGGAATAACTGCCAAGCTTGAGTGCTATTTCCTCTCTTCTCTTAAATCTTTTAACTTAAGAGGAGCATTCTGGTCATGGAAGACTGTGGCTAATCATAGATACGAGATAGGAAATTATGGAGCTGCAGCACAGGGAATTTTAAAAAAGGAGGATGGAAAACCAGAATTAGATTTTACAGTTCTGTAATTTTGAACATCACACAAAATCATGGTTTACAAGTCAAAAGCAGAGTGAAGAAAGCAGAAAAGAGGAAGGAGCAAAGACCTAAACCTTTTACCAGCCAAGGCAGTCTTCTGTGTACTAAAATTTATGAAACAAATTACACTTTTATCCTTGATCACATTTAAAGTGGGTTCTCAAAAACAAGAGGTGTCATGGCATAGACGAATAAATTTGATTTGGCACAAGCTTTAGGTGAATGCAGTCAGTGCATGTGAGGAAGTGAGCAGCAATCTAGGAAAGTTTATGCCAAATAAAATTTATGAATCTTTAAACTGACACAAGATTGTTTTTGCTGCAGCAAACATGGCCACCTGCTTGGACACTGTGTTTTTTGAGTATAAAAGCCATATTATAACTGAATCATGTGAAGGACGCAGCAAGTGTAATCTGGGACTGTACCTTAATATTAGGCACAGAGCTGCCCCAGCCCCTGGATGTCTACATGTGAAGAGCGACACTAGTAGGACTGTACCACTTGTCTGTCATTATGCAACACACTCTTGTATGCTCTGTTAAACACAGTGGTTCTATTACAAGTTTTGTGCTGTATTAATAATAATAATACAGTTTAATTATTCTGTTGGAATATACATGTAATAACATTAAACAGAGTAAAGGGGAACAATAGCTTTTTTTAGTTTGCTACTAATAAACAGAATTGATATTCTATTCCAATTGGAAAGAGCATTTAATTTTTGCTTTATATGCTACCTACTGGTATGGATTTTTTTTTAAAAAGTGTAACAAAACATCACATTGTATCAGAATTCCATAAACAACAATCAGTTCTCCCTAATAATACTATAGAATTTCAAAGATTTTTCCAAAAGCAAGGGGAATCCACCATTCATTCCTTGTCTTCTAGGGCACAAGTGCTTGCTTAACTGACTCAGGAACTCGAGAGGCATAATAGTCATGGTTATTCAAGGCAGCAAGAACACCTCCTGAATTCATATGCTTAACCTCCTTGTTATAATGAAAGAAATTCCCATGAATATCTGTAAGTTTGCCTAGGGAAAAACAGACACCATTAGCTTTTATGAATATAGACAGAACAACTGTAAAAGTACAGTATTACAGAACGGTTCAAGAAACTGGCCTCTCCTTTCCCAAAGCTTAATTATCTATGTTCATATGAATTTGTCCACAGTATAATCTCACACTATCACAACAGGAAAGCACATACTGTAACTTGAATGTATTACTAAGGAACATTAGTTCTGTGTCATGACAGACATATCAAGGAAACATAAGTCTGTGTCCCCGCCCCCCAACAATGTAAAACATTATTGAATTATATGGAAAATAAAAGCTACCTAAGGTATGCAGTTGGTTTGACCACATATTTCAACGAATAGTTGGGTGCATCTGAATGCATTCAACAAGTTTTGCTTCACTGCATGTTTATTTATTGGCACTAGAAAAATGTAAAACTTATATGCAATCTCTTCACTTGAACAACCAATTGCCAGTGTAAATGGAACTTAGATTTTTAAATCTCTTACGGTACATTACACTTACTATCAACGTTCCCTCTAATTTTCATCCCCACTAAAATCTCTTAAGGTAAACTTACTATTAACGTTCCCTCTAATTTTCATCCCCACTGGGCAAGACTCTGCCCCTGCACAGGGTTCTACTGTGACTGGAACCAGAGGGGCTGAATACGATTGCTGTGGGTGCGTGGAAGAGAAGGAGCCCTGTGCGGAGGGGGGCAGAGACACACAGGTGCGCATCTTAGAGGGAACCTTGCTTGCTATGTATTATTATAATGTATGTGTTATACAAATTGTCTAAAATATCCTGTTCTCAACAGTATGGCACAACTCAGCTCAAGGCTGTGGCTTCCTTTAGGAAGAAATCCATATACTCCCCACTTCTGCAGTCCTTCTCCACCCATTGTCATGGGTCGTTAACAGTGGTCTTTCTGGTGGGTGTGATCCTGATCTTTCTGGGGAGCGATGGAAGGGCAGCATAACAACCCATGACAATGGGTGCAGGACTGCAGAGATGGGATTTTCACTTGCCTCTAGTCTTTGCCCATCTAAGGAGCCTATTCAGACCAGGGGGAAGTGAAACCAACATAGAGGATATATCAGGGTGCTGTCCTCTGAAGATGCCGGCCACAGAGACTGGCGAAACATTAGGAAGAACAACCTTCAGAACACGGCCAAAGAGCCCGAAAAACCCACAGCAACCAACAGTATATCAGGGATCTTTTACCAACTCTCCTCAGATTGAAGAAGCTACTTGGATGAGTAGCAAAACATTTCAGCCTAATAAGAAAGAAGTCCAGTTGCCATGACTGAACTTCCACATAACCTCACCTGGATGACTGAGAATCTTCACAGATAGGACAATCTCAATTTCATTATTTTTATCTCCAGAGAAAGGTCATTCCTTCAGCTCCTTCAATTACTCACCTCCTACTGCATGCAAAATTGCCTCTGGAGCACAGGTATCCCATTTCTTGCATCCAGGACTAGCAAATACATAGGCAGAAGCCTTGCCTTCTACCAGCTGAATGATCTGATCCAAAGAATTCACAATTACATCACACAATATAATCACAATACTTTAAAAAAAACAAGCACACATCACAAAACTTACAGTAAGCGTTTCTGTATGCTTATCAGTGTTTCTGTATCATTAATTCATGTTATACTACTTTTACAGAGCACAATAACCACATTTCTCTGGGCAATTTATAAATGTATTAAGATTTGCAAATCCAATTAAACAATAATAAAGCAGCACACTGGAATAATTCTTAAAGTGCTTCAGAGAACAAAACAGGCCTTCAGCTGGTGCCAAAACACCAGAATGTAGCACCAGGTAAACTTCTCTGGGGAAGACATCTCATGAATGCTGCACCACCACAAAAATGTTCTTTCTCTTCCAGCCAGCCATTTTACTTCTGTTGGTAGAGGCAACTCAGATGGCCTCAGATGATCATTTTAGGATCCTTGAACAGGATTTGACTATAGTTACAAGTCACTAAGTGATTTGCATGAGCTACACACAGGTCAGTGTCTTTACTTGTAGGCCACTAGCTATACAGTGGTGCCCCGCATAGCGACGTTAATCCGTTCCAGGAGGATGGATTTCTTGAAGCCCCTGTACCATTTCTTTTTCTGGGGAAAAGGGAAATTATACAGCTCACAGTGGTCCAGACAGAGGAGAGGAATTGGGCCTCTCTTTAAAATTGCCCATCCAGTTTAAAAGATCTCTCTCCCACCAAATATTTTTATATCCAAATTTCCACCAGATGGTTGTTGTTGTTTTTTGAGAGGGGGGAGGGGGAAATACTTTTCCAAGTCTTCTGCCCCCATGATATAAAGAAAAGCTACATGTCATATAATCCCCACACTGATGTCACAGGGAAACTCTTGGAGCAGATGCCCTGAAGCACTGACCACGATGCTTGGGTTTTTTACAACTGTATCAACTACTGTAAAAACAAAACAAATGTAGTCCCCGTACCTTATTTCCTGCACCTCCAACTCTTACCACACTGTCAGGGTTCATTGCACTAATGCAGTCGTTCACCAGCTTGCTGCTGTGTGATCGTGTGGTCGTGATTATATGCTTCCCAGCTGGCACCTCTTTCAGCTGAAATCCAAAAGCACCCAAACCTAGGACTCCCCAGATTGTCCTGCCAAGGACTGCATCTGCTCCTGCCTGTTGCAAAGATACAAGCATTCCAGAGATGATAGCTGCATTAGAAAGCATTAGAAAGAGAGGATGGAGGTGGGGAAGTCAACATGGATGGTAGGTCGAAATGCTACTGTTATGCTGCTTAAAGAATATAAACACTTCTTTCAGGTAAGTGGAATTGCAGCCTAATTTACGAGTATGTTTCTTCACTACACTGACTTTAATTGGCTGTTCAAGCATTTCTTTTTTCTTCCCATGATGGCACCCACCCTCTCTTTGGAAGTGGAACTGCAGCCTAATTTACGAGTATGTTTCTTCGCTACACTGACTTTAATTGGCTGATTCAAGCATTTCTTTTTTCCTCCCATGATGGCACCCACCCTCTCTTTGGCTTAGCTTATTGCAGTCTGCTGAATACTGTGAAGGGGGGTTAAGGGAAAAGATCACTAGATCAGGGTGCAATCAGATGGCTGCAAAGATGAATCTCCCTTAAAGCAATCCTTCCCTTTGCCAGAGGATTGCTCCAGCCTAGCCCATAAAAGTGGGACGGACAGATCCTGAAGCTGAGGCTTCGATACTTTGGCCATCTCATGAGAAGAGAAGACTCCTTGGAAAAGACCTTGATGTTGGGAAAGAGAGAAGACAAGAGGAGAAGGGGACAACAGAGAACGAGATGGCTGGACAGTGTCTGCGAAGCAACCAACGTGAATTTGGCCCAACTCCGGGAGGCAGTGGAAGACAGGAGGGCCTGAAGTGCTCTGGTCCATGGGGTCACAAAGAGTCGGACATGACTTAACGACTAAACAACAACAATCCCATCAAGTAGCAGTCCTACAGCTGGACCAAAATGTCCCACTTGGTTACAAACCAGGGTCAGGCTGACCTCCATTTCTCCATATGTTGAGTAATCGCCACAAAACAGATTGTACCAGATCACTTCACAAGTGGGCCAAATTTCAATCTGTGTCTCCCTTTGACCAAACCTTCAGTTAGACAGAGTAGGAATCAGCACGAAAGGAGGGAAAGAAAAAGTGAAAGAGAATGCAGAGTTAGGGGGAGGATGTTTAATTTTCAGAAGGTATGTCTGTGATGTAGTGTAGCACTGGAGGTGCATGTTAATATACAGTTCAGTGAAAGGTTAAAGAAGATATAACTAAAAAACTAAATGCTGCCCGGCAACTAGCATAGTATGTTTTACTACTGGGTTCCAACCTGGTCAATAAAGTGTTGTTTCCTCTTTAGTCATACCCATATTCCACAGATGGTGGTATCTAGTTTGGCAGCCAATCCTGACTTATGCTAGGCTTCCTTTATTGCTTTTAGAAGCCTGTGGTGGTTCTGAGAGAACAGATGAGTAGAGACTAGGGGAAGGAAAGGTGGATGCAAAACACACATTCTGTCAAACCTCCTGCCATTCATTGTTTCACCAATGTTTCTGCCTCAGTTGCCTAATTCAGATGAGGAATGAGGCGCTACTTCACACCAGCTGTTGACTTAACTACTACTCCCCTCATCTCTCATGACTAGTTTGACTATCCCTGAGGGCCAGCCAAGTTCTTTTCACACTTAAGGCGGGAAATCCTACAAACACTTGTCCTTCTTCCTGGCAGGACTATAAAAACACAACGTATCAGCCCAAATCCTCTTACTTATTTACACTAGCATATCACAAATGGTATCATTGTTGGAGCAGAATTGCCCTAAATAAAGAAGTCACCATAGACATTATCAGTTGAGTACAAATGTTATGCTGTTTGAGGTAGCTATCATGTTTCTCTGGAAACCAGACAGGGTCTTATATTAATTTTTGCTCCAAAAATGCATTAGGGTTTATTTTCAGGGGATGTTTTATTTCTTCATGTACAACAATCTACATTTATTCAAATGCAATCAGGTCAACTTCTGGTTGCTGCATAATGGTGGACGGCAGGGTTTCACTTAACTGAAGCTTATTTTTTGGGGGGGGATACGGGCTTATGTTACGAGCATCCTAAAAAATCATACTAGGGCTTATTTTCAGGTTAGGTCTTATTTTCGGGCAAATGGTATGTCAGAGGACATTAACCATTAAATAACTGAAAACTCGCAGTTTCACAATACGCAAAATTTGCTGCTTGAGGCAAACACCTTATCCTGATTAATGGTGGCGACCCTCTGTATCTACATAAGGAAAAAGAATCTAAGTGTGCAAACTTCATGGAGGATTGTAACTTTCCAGGAAAACAACACATTTCCTACCTCGTAGTTATAGTAGGGTTGGTTAATGACTCCTGCAATGGCTTTTCCTTCATAAGCAATTCCAATAAGAACTGTGACATGGTCCAGAAGTCCTGAAAGAGATAATAGCTGTCACTGCAGAAGGAGAGATATGGAAGATAAATTTCAATTAATCACACACACAGAGAGAGAGAGATTTCTAACTTTCTGCTGCTGTTCCTTGTTTGGCTGTTAATGATCTCATATTCTAGCTATTTATCTGAGAGAGATGATAGCAATGCAAGGAAGCCGAGGCACTGCCACCGAGGCAGCTGGGAAGTGCTGAACACCTGTTTGGCTGCTAAACAAACTGGTATGAGCCGCCAAACCAGCGGCTCATGCCCATCTCTACTTAGAACATTATATAAAATAATACTGCATTTATCTACTTGCATTCTATTTCTTCTAAAATAGAATTTAAGTTGGTGGGAGAAGTATTGGCAGGTTGGTCTTAAAAGTGGAGAATTACCATATAGTGTGATAAGATCCATCGAATAGTCTGGACCCAAGCTGTTTAGGGCTTTATAAGTAATAACCAGCATTCTGAATTGGGCTGAGAAACAGGCTAGCGGCCCACGAAGCTGTTGTAATAAAGGAACTATACGCACCCTGTAACTACCAGCAGTGTACAGTTTGGTTGCAAGTTTCTGAACCAACTGAAGTTTTCAGCCAGATGGACTGCAATCCTCGCCCTTCCCAATCATTATGGTCAATCATCATATTAGCTGAGAAGGATGAAAGTTATAGCCCAACTCATATAGACTGAGTGATGAGTTAGTATTAGGGAGAACTAAATCCAAATCTATACTGAGGAACAAAACTTACTGAATGACCTAAGAACAGTCCCTGTCTCTCAGACTAACCTACTTTACAGGGTTGTTGTGGAGGTGTGGGATAGAGAGAACCATGTATACGCTCTTCAGCTTCTTGCCAAAAAGATGGGATATACTGTACAAACAAATACATACATTTTGGTCAATTTTAAATTTAAGAATGTAAGCAGAATTAGTTCTGCTTTATACAGAACCCTTCCACAACAGAAACTGATTTTTTTTATTTTTTTATTTATTTTTTTTGCTGTGGTGGACACACACAATTAAGGTAACAGAGTCCTGATCAATTAACAAAGAATGAAAGAGCCAACAAGCTACTTTCCATTTGTAGTGCAATTTCTATTGTATTACCAAGGACAACCTTCTACTGATTTTCAGGTTACCATGACCTCCTACATGTCCAATTGTCATGGGTGAATATCACACACAGGTTTTTATTACTGCTGCTAATAATAACTAACTAACTACCTCAAGGTGGTTTTGTGTTCATTCAAAACAAGAGAAAATTCTCAAACCTTCGGTATATTCTTTGGTTCCATCCAGAGGGTCGACCCATACCACAAGCTTTGGAAAGAAACAAAAACAAAGATAGGAGAACATTGCTAGTGGGAAAGAAGCAAAGATTGATGATCTTGCCCTCCACCATGCGGTGATACCTGAATATACCTGCTCACTCTAACAAGACCTGTAGCATGACTGAGGCATTAACTCACTATGTCCCCAGTCATTACTGATTTGAACCTTTCCTCTGTACCGTGGTCTCCTTTTCACACCTTTCAAAAGCCCAGGAAAGTATAAGGTTATAGGTGGAACCTGGAAAAGGTTTTAATTTTGGATGATGATGATGATGATGATCCTGAATATACCTGCTCACTCTAACAAGACCTGTAGCATGACTGAGGCATTAACTCACTATGTCCCCAGTCATTACTGATTTGAACCTTTCCTCTGTACCGTGGTCTCCTTTTCACACCTTTCAAAAGCCCAGGAAAGTATAAGGTTATAGGTGGAACCTGGAAAAGGTTTTAATTTTGGATGATGATGATGATGATGATGATTA